AGCAGAAGATGGCCCAAGTGCTTGGACCCCTGTCTTCCATGTGGGAGACCCGGGTGGAGTTCCTAGATCCTGGCTTTGGCCTGGTCTAGCCCATGCCATTGTAGCCAGTTGGGGAGTGAACCAGCAGATGGAAAATTCTCTCTCTCTCTCTCTCTCTCATATTTATTTATTTGAGAGGCAGAGTTACAGACAGAAAAAGGGAGAGACAGAAAGAGGTCTTCCATCCGCTGGTTCGCTCCTCAATGGCTGCAATGGCCAGGGCTGGGCCAGGCCAAAGTCAGGAACCAGGAGCCAGGAGCCAGGAGCTTCCTCCAGGTCTCCCACGTGGGTGCAGGGGTCCAAGGACTTGCGCCATCTTCCACTGCTTTCCCAGGCCACAGCAGAGAGCTGGATTGGAAGAGGAGCAGCCAGGACTCGAACTGGCGCCCATATGGGATGGCAGCGCCAGAGGCGGGGGCTCAAATAACTATGCCACAGCGGCGGCCCCAACAAAATAAATCTTAAAAAAAATTAAAGAACTAGATGATACCAAAAAGTCTTCTTTTGTCTTAGTACTAAAGCCTTTTCTTATCTTGTAACTAGAATAACAAAGGCTATTACATAAATACACATTTCAGTGCCCACAAAGGAAACATACATTTTAATAACATTTTATTTCTTCTAGACATTTCTGACTATTTAACTGGACGAGATTTCCCTAGAGTGTACACATAAAACGGAACAACTTTCTGATTAGTTCATCTTTAATACTTTTGAAGAAAAAAGTGAGAGGGAACTACTTCTGATGAATATGAAATTATCATTCTAAAACGCTAAAATTTATTCCTTCTGCAAAGACAGGGAAGACTGTTTAAATGTGGAAAAATAGATTTCTACACACACAGAGAGAATGACATTATAGCTGATTTTAAAAAGTATCTTAGGCATTTGGCAGTGTAATGGAGCTATGTGTTTTAAGTCTGCTTTGGGGGCAGCTGTCATGGGACAGTGGATTAAGCATCCTATATCAAATGCTAGTTGGAGTCCCAGCTGCTCCACTTCTGATCCAACTCCCTGCTAATGTGCAATGGAAGATGGCTGAGATACTTGGGTCCCTGTCACCCATGTGAGAGACCAGGATAGAATTCCTGGCTCCTGGCTTCATCCTGACCCAGCCCTGGCCATTGTGACCATTTGGAGAGTGAACCAGTAGAGAAGTCTCTCTCATTTCTCTCCCTTACCCTCTCTCTGTCACTCTGCTTTTAAAACAAATAAATATTTTTCTTTTAAAGCAAATTTAAAAAAAACTTAGGAGAAGACGGCCCAAGTGCTTGGGCCCCTGCACCTGCGTGGGAGACCTGGAAGAAGCTCAAGGCTCCTGGCTTTGGATCAGCTCAGCTCTGGCCATTGCGATCATTTGGAGAGTGAACCAGCAAATGGAAGACCTCTTTCTCTTTCTCTCTCTTTCTCCCCCTCCCCCTGCCTCTCTGTAATTCTGCCTTTCAAACAAATAAATAAATCTTAAAAACAAACAACTTCGGCATCTGGCAGTGTAACGGAGCTGTGTCATTTAAAAGTCAGCTTAGGGGCAGCACTGTGGTGTAGCAGAGTCCTGGATGCTCCACTTCCCATTCAGCTCCCTGCTCATGCGCCTGGGAAAGCAGCAGAAGATGATCCAAGTGCTTGGGCCCCTGCACACACGTGGGAGATCTGGAAGAAGCCCCCGATTCCTGGCTTTAGCCTGGCCCTGCCCTGGCTATTACAGCCTTCTGGAGAGTGAACCAGCAGATAAAAGATTTCTCTGTCTCTCCCCCACCCCGCCTCTATGTAAGTCTGCCTTTCAAATTAATATATGTCTTCCCTTTTTATTTATTTATTTATTTTTTTTGACAGGCAGAGTGAACAGTGAGAGAGAGACAGAAAGGTCTTCCTTTTGCCGTTGGTTCACCCTCCAATGGCCGCCATGGCTGGCGCACTGCAGCCGGCACATCGAGCTGATCTGAAGGCAGGAGCCAGGTGCTTCTCCAGGTCTCCTATGGGGTGCAGGGCCCAAGCACTTGGGCCATCCTCCACTGCACTCCTGGGCCACAGCAGAGAGCTGGCCTGGAAGAGGGGCAACCGGGACAGAATCTGGTGCCCCGACCGGGACTAGAACCCGGTGTGCCAGCGCCACAAGGCAGAGGATTAGCCTAGTGAGCCGTGGCGCCAGCCTTGATCAAGGCTTTGAAATAGTGACCTGGGACAAAGTTTGTCCAAAGGACACGGATCTGAAAATCTCTTCTGAATTATACAGCTTCTGGGGCTGGCTGTAGGAGAAAGTTTTTGGCCTTTTATTGATGGAGGAATTTGTCCAGTTAATTTGGATATCAAATCAGACTCTGGGGCCAGCACTGTGGCTCACTAGGCTAATCCTCCACCTGCGGCGCCGGCACCCTGGGTTCCAGTCCCGGTTGGAGCACCGGATTCTGTCCTGGTTGCTCCTCTTCCAGTCCAGCTCTCTGCTGTTGCCAGGGAAGGCAGTGGAGGATGGCCCAAATGCTTGGGCCCTGCACCCGCATGGGAGACCAGGAGGAAGCACCTGGCTCCTGGCTTCGGATCGGCGCAGCGCACTGGCCATGGCGGCCATTTGGGGGGTGAAGCAACGGAAGGAAGACCTTTCTCTCTGTCTCTCTTTCTCTCACTGCCTAACTCAACCTGTCAAAACTCTGGGATGCTAACGAGTCCCTAAGCAGTTGTCATTCCCAACCTCCTAAAGGGACAAATAGTACAGTCATTAGAGATTAAGCAGTCATAGGCTGTGACACCCCTAAAAATCCAGGCCTGCACACTTGTCTTGTCCAAATAGATTTTTCCTCTTTAAGACGAACAACATTCAAAATGGCAGGCAGGCAGAGGCAGGTGTTTGGCTTAGGAGCTGAGATGCCTGGGTCAGAACTCCTGCGTTCAGTGTCCACTTCTGAATCCTGATTCCTGTTTCTTGCTAGTGCAGACCCCGTGAGGCAGCTGTGATGGCGCACATAGTTGGGCTTCTGCCACTCACCAGGGAGACCTGGATGGAGTTCTGACTTAGGTAGGCCCAGACTCAGCCATTGTGGGTATCTCTGTCTCTCAAATAAAAATCGAATAATCCAGACAAGCAGACAGACCATAGGAACAGCCTAAAACAAAACAAAACAAAAACAAAAACAAATTTCACTAAGAGAAAATAAAAACCTGATCAGATAACCAAAAATTCCAAGGGTGAAAAAACAAACCAAATGCTTAAAGAGTCTCAACCAATTATCAGAGCTCAATTTGGCAAGAACTCACCTTGCAGTCATGGGCAGGATGACACCTCAAACACGGCCGACACACGTGGGATTCCAAATAGGCATACAATGACTAGAGCTAAGGGACCCCAGGCCAAGGCAGTGAGAGCTTCGGCTGAACCCCTGCGGATTCTCCATGTCTGAGTGCTCTTCAGGGAGGGACCATCAGGAACGCACTTGTGATAGAGTAAGAGAGGCCAAACACAGATGCCCGGTGGGAAGGATTTGGGCTTGCTGTGGGATGTCCTAGGAGGGCTCAGGGAAGGGGGCTTTGCTCTAGGCTGCACGTTGACAGGAGGCAAACTCGTTCTTTTCAGTTAGCTTACCGACGTCAGCTGGAAGAGGACAGGACTGAATGATGGCAAAAGCTGTGCTTGTTCAAGAAGCGGATGTCCCTCACCCAGTGGTGGAAGGGGTCATGTTAGACCATGTTGGTGGTCTGTAGTATGCGATCGTTTTTGGGTTCAGACGTGATTAGGGAATGGTCTTTTTCTCCACCCACCCGTCACTGAGTGACCTCGTCGGAGGTTGTTCAGTGAAATTGTTCGTGCTCAACGGGACATCACCGCAGCCCGGCTGTGGGTGCCGAGCCAGTGCCTGGCAACACCAAGGCTTTCTGGAAGGAAGAGTGCAAATCGGCTCCAGCTGTCAGGAGTTGCCTCTCTTTTCCTCTGCTACACTTGAAAGTCAGAATTGGCGACCCCTTTTGGTAGAACCTGCGATCTCTGGTTCATAACAGGCCCATTTCTCCTTGATACCTTACGACTGGCCCACTTTGCTCATTCGCCTTCCTACCATCTCCTGCAGGCATTTAAATGTGCACCCCTGGGGTGGCCATCCGGTGCAGCAGTTGAAGATGCCAGTTGGGACTCCTGCATCCATCCCATATTGGAGTTCCTAGGTTCGAGTCCCATCTCTGCATCCAATTCCAGCTTCCTGCTCATGTGCACCCTGGCAGGCAGCAGCCGATGGCTCAAGTATTGGGGTCCTTACCACCCACATGGAAGCCCTAGGCTGAGTTCCTGGCTACCTCCCAGGGGATGGGTGGCAAAGTTGAAACCAGAGCTCTGACCCTGTGTCTGGTCTTCTTCCAGCTAACCTCCCTGGCCAGACGTGAAGGCGCATGATTAAAACCATCTCTCTCTGTGCCTCTAACCCGGGTGCGGGTCAGGTCAGCTAAGAACACGTCTCTCCCACCACAGTTTTCGTGAACAGTGCGTTCTTTCTCTCCGGGTTGGGTGCTAGGTATCACATTACCCGGGAGTCTATTTGTCCGTCGGCTCCGGCCACCCCGGAAGTGCTCTCTGCTGAGACACCAAGCCTTTCCTGCCTGAGGTCTCGGCACCTGCGCTCCCTCTCAGCTCCAGCTCAGCCCTAGCACCGCCGCCGCCTGCTTTAACACTTCCCGCCTCGGGGCTCTGTTCTCCTATCCTGTCAGGGTACGGGGCTTGGGAAGTGGACACTGCCAACACCCGTCCTCTCTGAGCGAGGTTTCCCTTCATGCCCACGAAGTTCGGGGAGCAGAGACCCCACCACGGCCCGGGAATTTCGCTTTCCACGTCCGGCAGGGGTCCGCGCCCTTCCTCAGCCTCATCTCTCCGGTTCCTCATCCTGCTGGGGCAACGCAGTCCGCCAGCGAACTCGCTCCCTAGACGACTGCGCATGCTCTGCACTCGCGGCCACGCCCCCAGGATCAGGGGCGGGGCCTGGCCGCGCCTGCGCAGATACCCGGCGCCTACTTCCGGGTGGTGCGAGCGCAATGGACGGAAGGGCCAGTGTTTTGGAGTAGCGGCGGCGAGTGGGCGTGTACGCCGGACTGTGTGGCTGGAGAGCCGGGATCCCGGGGTCTGTGGGAGCAGGCCGGAGGACACGGATAGAACCTGGGATCGCTGCTTGCCCGCCGCCACCTGGCATGTCGGCCGAGGCCTCGGGCCCGGCGGCTGCCGCGGCCCCGTCGCTGGAAGCCCCTAAGCCCTCGGGTCTCGAGCCTGGCTCCGCCGCCTACGGTCTGAAGCCGCTGACCCCGAACAGCAAGTATGTGAAGTTGAACGTGGGCGGCTCGCTGCACTACACCACGCTGCGAACCCTCACGGGACAGGACACCATGCTCAAGGCCATGTTCAGCGGCCGGGTGGAGGTGCTCACCGACGCCGGAGGTAGGCGCGCCGCCCGGAGACCCCGGCGCCCCGGCTCGCTTTCCCTAGGCTTTCATCGCCCAGCCTTCTCGTGCCCCTTCCCCGTCTCACATCTCCCCTCCCTCCGGCCCCTGCCCCCTCGCGGAACCTCTGACTCTTCCAGGCACCACCGTGCCCTTCACCATCCCCGTCACCAGCTCTTCCACCCCTCACCCCTCGTCTGGGAAGACGTGAGAGCCAGCCCTGCCGCCAGCAGCGGCCCTCCGGGCAGCCTCCCTCAGTGTCCCGCCCCCCACCCCCAGCCTTTTGTTCCCCTCTGCGTGGAGAGCTGTCCGTGTCTCTGTGGTCCCCTGACACAGGTCCCTGAACACTCTAGGGCTCATCAGTAAATGCATACTGTAGCAGGAGAAGGAGATGATGGGGAGTTCCCTTGGCAGGTGAATCTTAACCCTCTTGGAGGGTCGCACTGAGGCTTGCGTGGCGCGTGCCCAGGTTTGCTTCAGGGGGGCTGGGGTTTCAGAAGAGGTTAATAGGAGAGGGCAGGAAAATTCAGAAGTGGGGAGAAGATACCAAGGCAAATCATTCATTCATTCATTCATTCAGTGTTTGTAAAGTTCCAGTTAGTGCTGGAGAGACTTTGGTGAGCAGATCTGACAAGATGAGTCTTTTTAGGGAGGTAGGGGTGGGGCACAATAAATAAAGCGATAAGTAAACAAACAGCATACAACTGTAACTGCAGGGAGTAAAAGTCGTGTGAAGACCGTACAGCTTAAATGGGCAGTGAGTGGCTTAAACAGTTTGAATAGGATGATTGGCGTTAACATTAGGGGTTGGAGGTTTATTGATAAGGTAATTATGCACGAGGGCTTCAAAAAGTTCATGGAAAAGTGGAATGAAAATTAAGTTTATTTTGGTGCGGAGAAGTTTGGAGGCCAGGTGTATGAGGGGTCTTCAGAAAGAAAATGGAAAATGCATGCCACAAGGAAACTTTTCATGGGTTTGAAAATTTTCTGTGCCTGAATAAACTTAGCCATTCATTCCATTTTTTTTTAAATATATTTATTTACTTGAGAAGCAGAGTTACAGAGAGAGAGAGGGGTCTCCCATCAGCTGGTTCACTCACCAAATGGCCACCACGGCTGGAGCTGGGCAGATCCGAAGCCAGGAGCCAGGAGCTTCTTCCGTGTGTCCCACATGGGTGCAGGGGCCCAAGAACTTGGGCCATCTTCCCCTGCTTTCCCAGGCCATAGAAGAGAGCTGGATCAGGAGTGGAGCAGCCAGGACTCGAACTGGTGCCCATATGGGCTGCTAGCACTATGCAGACGGATGCTCAACCTCCTACGCCACAGTGCCAGCCCCTAGTAATTGCATTTGTACGTGACCTTTCTGAAGTACCTGCAGCGTAAGAACTTTCTCTCTGTGAGAGCTTTCTCACTGTAGAAGAGATTCAGGAGGGAATGAGGGGAGAACGCACGGGGGATGTTTGAAAGGGGGCTCCTTGACCTGGCCAAGGTTTGAGACAGATCGGTTTTCAGACTTTCTTGTGGCCATGGGATTCTTTTTTCATAAAGATCGAGCAGCTTCAGGGCCCACGGCAAAGCCACCCTCCCTCCTGCCTCTCCCCAGGCTGGGTGCTGATTGACCGGAGCGGCCGCCACTTTGGTACCATCCTCAACTACCTGCGGGACGGGTCTGTGCCACTGCCTGAGAGTGCCCGAGAGCTGGGGGAGCTGCTGGGCGAGGCGCGCTACTACCTGGTACAGGGCCTGATCGAGGACTGCCAGCTGGCCCTGCAGGTGAGGGCCCTCCCCTCCCTCCCCGGTTCCTGTGCCCGCGTCCCCGGGAGCACGGCCTAAGCCGTTAGATACCAGAATGGGAAAAAGGATACCCGGAGTCCTGCCCGGAGAGCCCGGCTGTGACTGGCTGTTGCCCCAGAGAACTGGGGGGAGGGCGGAACTGTCCCTCAGGCAGGTCCCCTCACTGCCTCACGCTGAGACCCTTGCGATGGTTAAATAACTGCTCTCTGCTGCTTGCTGTTCCTGCCCAGCCAACCCAGCTGTTACAGGACCACTTGAGCAATTACCCTCCAACACAGCCCCCGGGCTGTCCTCTCCCCTGCCCAGGAACCCTGCACAGTTCCTAGTGCCACTAGAGGGAGAACACCTATGTTGGAGTTGGGATCGTGATGTGCTGCGATCCTGGGAGGCGGCGGCGCCCCCCATCCCTCACCCTCTGGGGCCCTCCTCCTCTGGGACGTTTTATCTAGCATTGAACTCCTTCCCTCAAGTGAAAGCCCCTGGAAGCAGGAGCCACTCCCAGTCCAATAGGGCCAGGGTTTCCACAGCCCCACCTGCTGGTCCCTGCTTCTGTGGTTCCCTGCGGGTTCTGAGGAGCGGGGCTTAGAAAGCACAGCCAGGACACAGGGGTTGGTGTCGCCTCCCCAGAGCTGACTGGGTCAGTTCCTACCTCCTACGTTCTGACCACGTATTCCAGGAGATAGGGGACTGAGGAAAAGCAGTCCACGGTAATGGGCTACAGAAAGCTCTAGTCTGTTCTGTCTCTACAGTGTTAAAGTGTTCATTATTTTATGATACAATAGTAGTAGGAGATTATAAGAGTTTCTTTTTATGTATTTTTATAGATTAAAAAATGGCAGCTCTGAACAACTTTCTGTTATCTCTACAAGTATTTATTGGTTCTTAAAATCCAAAGGTATAAACAATTACCATGGTTTTCAAACTCTTTGATTGCAGCCCCTAGGAAGGAAAAATGCATTTTAGAGTCACGTGTATATAACTAAAAAAGTGTCATAAAATGATACTTGTAGGATACTCTATTTATTTATTTATTTATTTATTTATTTCCAATGCTGTTTGGGACCCATTAAACTTACTTCATGATCCATTAGTGGGTTTCCAGTTGTGGTTTGAGAAACACTGCATGGGCTCCGTGAAGCGCATTCTTGCTTTATATTTTAAATTGGAGCTGACATGATCGCACACCCAGCGTGTGTCTGGAGAGATTCCGCCCTCTGCTTCTGTCTGCCGCTTGTTCCTGAGTTCGACATAAAGAGGAGCAGGATGGTCGGATGGTCCATCCAAGGTGGAAGAGGCCAGCATGCAGCAGACGGCAGGTTCAGCCCCAGTCTTCTGACCCCCAAGTGTGGTGCTTTCCTCCTGTGCTCCGCTGCCCCCGTTCCAGGCTCCCCTGAGACTGTCCCTGCCCCTCCCCGCCAGCTCTGCACACGCCATGTGTGCCATTGGCCAGCACCGGCCTGTGCAGATCTTTTCCCTTTCATTTCAATTTCCCCGCCCAGTCCCCTGCCCACTGCCCTTTTCCCCAGGGGCACCTGTCCTAGTCTAGTGTTTGGATACAGATGCTTGGATTGTGTTTGTACCCTGGAAAAGCTAAAGCTTTGTTTTATATACATTTCCAAACACAGCACTGAGTAATGGGTCATGTTGTGTTTCGTAGTTTGTCAGTGCAATACTTTTTTTCAAGATCTATCTGCACTGTTGCGTGTGCATCTGGTTCTTTGCTTCTGATGGCTGCCCAGGAATCTATGGGCTTCATGCCCGCCCCCCCATTTTCTTTATACATTCCCTTGAGACTGGAGACCTAGATGGTCTCCCACTTCCTGCCCTCACAGACAGTGCCCCTGTGAGCACCCTTGTACCTGTCCTCCGTGGTCCTGTGCAGAGTTTCTCGCGATTGTAGCTGGCAGTGGGATGGCTGGGAGTTTCAGTGTCGCCGGGTTGCTCTCCCGGATGGCTGTATACCTTCTGCTCTCACTGAAGCACACACGGATGGCTGGGAGAGTGATCCTGCCTTAATTTGCTGCCTCTGAGCGCTAATGAGGTTGAGCATTGTTTCCTGCACACACTCACTAGCTTTTTCGGTGTGCCCTTCTGTGAGTGCTGCTTCATCTGCCTTGCCGAGTTTCCTGCTCAGCTTCCTGCTTTCTCTTAGAGCTTTGGCAGGAAAGTACAGCATATTGCAGTTTAGTTTGTAGGGAGAATTAAGCCATCTTACAGAAGGCCATGTTTTATACATGCCTTAGGCACGTGTTATACATAATCCATTTTCTCCCACGCATCTGGCATGGTGCTATTTACCTACCATCCTTAGGAGAGTTCAGAAAATGCTCATATGATTTGCTAGGTTGTAAGATTCAGATGAAAAACCCCAGATGAGAAAAACACGTTACAGATATTAACTCTTAGGCAGTTTTCGATATTGCCAATATTTTCTCTTAGGATGTTACCTATCTCTGGCATGTAGTATTTGGTAAGTTTAGTGTTTAATATTTAGTAGATTGATATTTAATTTTTTTTTTATTTGACAGGTAGAGTTATAGACAGTGAGAGAGAGAGAGAGAGAAAGGTCTTCCTTCCATTGGTTCACCCCCCAAATGGCCACCATGGCCGGCGCTGCACCGATCCGAAGCCAGGAGCCAGGTGCTTCTCCTGGTCTCCCATGCGGGTGCAGGGCCCAAGCACCTGGGCCATCCTCCACTGCACTCCCAGGCCACAGCAGAGAGCTGGACTGGAAGAGGAGCAAACCGGGACTAGAACCTGGTGCCCATATGGGATGCCAGCGCCACAGGCGGAGGATTAACCAAGTGAGCCACGGCGCCGGTCCCTAATGTTTTTTCTTTATTTTTTTCTCATTTTGTTTGAAAGGCAGGGAGAGAACGAGTTTCTATCTGCTGGTTGCTTCCCCAAAGGCCTGCAATAGCCAGGAGGAAGCCAGGCCAACCTAGGGGCCTAGAACTCAGTCTAGACATCGTGTGGGTAGAAGGGACCCAGGTACTTGAACTCTCACCCGCTGCCTCCAGGGTGCCTAACAGCAGGAAGCCAGACTCTGAGGGAGAGCCGGGACTCCAGCTCAGGCGCTCGGTGTGGGGTGTGGGCGCCCCAAGTGGCATATTAATCATTGTGTTACATGCCTACCCCAGGTTCCTTGATATTTTAAATTACAAATGACCACTTTTTAAATTTCTGCAGCAGTATTTATGAATTGTAGAAGTGAACAAATACAGCTAACTAATAAAATAAAAGCACCAAATATATATATTTTCCAGGTATGTGTGTGTGTGGATGTGGATGTTTTTACCAAAATACAATCATGTTGTATCTACTGTTTCGCTATCTGCTTTTTTTCTTTTTTTGGTGTTGTTAATAATTGGCATCTTTCCATCTCAGTACAATTTCCATCTCACGTTAGGGCACACTCCAGTTTCTCTAGTTGTTCCAGAAATGGTTTTCATAGCTGGATCATCCAAACCAGGATCCAGTCCTTGCCCTCGCATTAAGTCTGGTTGTCGTTTCTGTTACGTCTCTGCCAATCCAAGCCAGTTCTTTTTTCTCATCGTGCTGACTTGTCGAAGAGCCCGCCAGTTGTCCTGGAGGATGGCCCACTTTCCAGACCTGCTGGCTGTTCACTTGTGGTGTCGTTTGGTCTGTCACCCTACCCTATGGAATTTCCTGTAAGCTAGACCACAGATTTGAAGGCTTGATAGTAAGCCTTTGAGTTAGAATACATTTTAGGTAACATGCTGTATTTCTTTTTGGGTTACCCCAAGACTCCCATAATATTGCTGATCTTACCCGTAATTAATGATACCAGGAACTGGCCCCTGGATTCAGGCGCTAGAAGTTTGATTCCTTCCGTGTTGCCAGCCATAGAGCAATCTGGGTGGTACTGCAGGTGCCCAGTATGCATTGCAGTTACCTCTCAACAGCAACACAACTGATAATTCTTGACTGAATCCATAATTTCAGTAGGGCTGTAGAATGATTGTAATTCTATCATTTCTTGAATCTTACTACAGGGAATTATTTGTAAAGTCATCTTTTCCATTGTCAGCTTGAGAAATTGTTGGGTTTTTTTAAAATGCTTGTTTTTTTTAAGATTTTATTTATTTATTTGAAAGTCAGAGTTACACAGAGAGAGTAGAGGCAGAGAGAGAGGTCTTTCATCTGATGGTTTACTCCCCAATTAGCCGCAACGATCAGAGCTGAGCCGATCCAAAGCCAGGAGCCAGGAGCCAGGAGCTTCTTCTGGGTCTCCCATGTGGGTGCAGGGGCCCAAGGATTTGGGCCATCTTCTACTGCTTTCCCAGGCCATAGCAGAGAACTGGATCGGAAGTGGAACAGCCGGGTCTCGAACTGGCGCCCATTTGGGATGCCGGCGCTTCAGGCCAGGGCATTAACCCACTGTGCCACAGCACCAGCCCCTGAATGCTTATTTATTTGAAAGGCAGAGACTCAAAAGAGATCTCCTATCTGCTGGTTCATTCCCCAAATGCCTGTAACAGCAGAAGCTGGGCCAGGCTGAAGCCAGGAAGCGGGAACTCAATCCAGGACTCCCACGTGGGTGACAGACACCCAGTTAATTGAGCGATCACCTGCTGTTGCCCAAGGTCACGTTAGCAGAAGCCAGAATCAGGAGCAGAGCTGAGACTTGAACCCAGGTGTTCCAGGATGGGATTTGGGCATCCAGAGCCCCACCAGTGATGCATGGCTCCTGGTAGCCAGGCTCCTGTTGAGCCCGCTTCCATACAGAGTAGGGCCGACCTGTGTAGCCAACAGGATGTTGCAGAAGCGACAGAGTGACTCACAGCTAGGGTGCAGAACACTGCAGGTTCTGCCTCTCTCTCGGGTCACTCACTCTGGGGGAGTCAGCTGTCCGGTGAGAACGTTTGGGCAGCCCTGGGGAGAAGTCCACTTGATGAGGAAGTGGAGGCAGCAGCCAGCAGCCAGCACAGACTCGCAGGCAGTGCAGCAGCTGCCTCGGAAGCAAACCCTCGAGGCGCAGTCAAGTCTGCAGAGGACCGCAGCCCTGGCAGCTTCGTGAGAGACCCTGGGCCAGGACCACGCCGCTGTGTGACCATGGAAACCGTGCGAGACAATAAATGTGCATTGCTGTCTGAAGCCGCTAAGTTTGTAGTAATTTATTACCCAGCAGTAGCTAACAGATTTCGATTTCTAGGGTAGGGTATCTGCCATGACAAATCCCTAAAATGTGGAAGTAGTTTTTATTCTGTTTGAAAGGCAGAGAGATACACACAGAGCTCCCATCTGCTGATTCGTCCATCCAGTGCTCACGACAGCCTGGGCAGAAACCAGGAGCTGGGAACTCAGTCCAGGTCTTCCACATGGGTGGTAGGCACCCAGTTATTTGAGTTGTCACCTGCTGCCCCGGGCCCGGGTGGGTCTTAGCCCGGATCTGGAATCAGGAGTGGAAGCAGGACTTGAATTTAGACGTGGGGTGTGGCTGTCTCAGCCAGAGGCGAAACTACTAGGCAAACACCTGCCCTGGACATCGTGTGGAACTAGGAAGTGGGCAGAGCTGGGAGCGCTTTGAGGAGAGGGGTAGTAAAAGCCTGCAGAGTGTCAGAGACTCCGGGACGAGAAGTCTGGTGACTGCAGCGAGGGCTTGCACCCCCGTGAAGAACTTGACACAGAGAGAAAGGGGATCCTTGCTGACTAACAGGAAGTTTAGCAACGCTGCCTCCTGGCTCCCCCGAGGACTGGCTGGTCTGGCCTAGCCGAGGAGACTTCCAGATCGAATGTTCCAGGGACCACCGGCTTTCTCGTTGACGGTACAAGGAGAGAGGAGCTAGTACGCTAAAGGAACAGTTGGGGGAAAGAAGATGACAGAAATTGATGGGTCTGCAAATCCCCAGCCTTTCCAGGTACTGCATGATACGGAGTTGAACAAATGACTGGCAGGCAGAGATTAAATACAGGATACTCTCAGGAAAGCGAGGTCTGACGATTCATAAAGTCCTTGGTGCAGAGCTCAGAGCAGTCCAGGAGCTGCCCCCGAGACCACTGATCCGATAATCAGGCTTCTCAGACGATGTCGCCTGCACGGGCTCGCGACGCCCCAAGGAGAGAAGGGCAGGCTTTGCTGAGGTGCGTGGGGGTGGCTCTTTCCTAACAAAGTGAACCCGAGACTTCCAGGACACCCAGTAAAGTTTTAGAAAACTGTATTGGCAGAAATCCAGTCAGCTTGGGCTGAAGGGGACAGAGCAAAAGAAAGATGCCTTTGGATCCCCAAACTCAGGCAGGCAGGAAGCAGGCCGAGGAAGCGACAGCCACTCACGTCCGTGGAAGGCCAGGATCACGCGATGCCGTCAGGAGCCGTGGAGCGCTGGTCTTGGGCAGGAGGAGGCTGCGGCGAGTTCCTAATGTGTCTCTGGGCCAGGAACTTCTCTCTGCCTCCTGCTGCCTCTCCCCGATTGAAGGAGAGCCTTCCTAGTGGTTATTCCAGGCCTCTTCTGTTAGATCCTGCGTGTGGCTCACTGGCCTTGAGTTAGAGAGGAAGTGTACTTCAGGAGCTGTAATTAAGGAACTATCCCCACTGGGACCTCATTTGAATTATAAGACTCTGCTTTGAGCAGTGACGCATACAGATAATATGAGCTTAAAAAGAGGGAGTGTGTATTGTGCAGGTGATAGAGGTGGGAATCAGTGAGGGCTAGAGTGTAGACTGCAGAGCTAGGCCCCAAAGCAGTCCCCAGGGACCCCACTGGTTCTGGTCCCCTTCACTCCCTTCTGTCTTTTTCCATACTGGAAGGGCTGACAAAGGTAAGTCATGAAAGACAAGGCCTCGGGGCCAGTGCTTTGGCGCAGCGGGTTAAAGCTCTGGCCTGAGGCGCCAGCATCCCATATGAGCACTGGGTCTAGTCCAGGCTGCTCCTCTTCCGATCCAGCTCTCTGCTATGGCCCAAGTGGTTGGGCCCCCGCACCCACATGGGAGACCCGGAAGAAGCTCCTGGCTTTAGATCGGCGCAGCTCCAGCCATTGCGGCCATCTGAGGAGTGAACCAGTGCTGGAAGACCTCTCTCTGTCTCTACCTCTCTCTGTAACTCTTTCAAATAAATAAAAATAAATTAATTTTAAAAAAAGACAAGGCCTCCACTTTGCTTCCTTAGATGCCATGAAGAAAGCTGTCTGGACACTCGGGCATGTCAGTGAGAAAGTCCAGTGGCAGCAATTGGGCACTTCCTGGCCCCGGCCAGCGCGGACTTGCCAGCTGTCCGAATGTGCTTTCTCAGAAGCGGATCCTGCAAAGGCAGCGGTGCCTCTGATGCCTGCAGCCCCAGCTAACGTCTTGATGACAGCTTCCTTAAGGACGCCAGGCCAGAACCACGTGGCTAAACCACTCCTGGCTCTCCAATGTGGAAATAATAGATGCTCTTTATAAACTGAAGCTTCGAAGTTTGGGAGAATTTGTCAAACAGCAGTAGGTAACTAATACACACCCCACACTTACCCGCACTTATGTGTGGTGTCGTCTTTAATGAATTTGTTTATTTTTGAATGTTTAGTTGTTTGAAAGGCAGAGCAACACAGCAGGGCAAACAGAGAGATATCACGCTGGTTCATTCCCCAAATGGCTGCAATAGCCAGGGCTGGGCCAGGCTGAAGGAGGAGCCTGGAGCTCCATCTGGGTCTGCCGCCTGGGTGGCAGGAACTCAAGTACGTGAGCCACCTTCTGCTGCTTTCCCAGGTGTGTGAGCAGGAGCTGCATGGGAAGCAGAGCAGGGGGACTCAGGCAAGCCCTCCGTGTGGGATGCCAGCGTTGCAGGTGGCGGCGTAGCCTGCTGCGCCAAACGCCAGCCCTCAGGTGTCTGTTCAAACAGCAGCCCTCGTACGTGCGCCGGCCTGTTTCATGCTTCTTTATTATGTCCACTGGGTTTCTCATTCGTTTCTGCACCAGCACTACCCCGTTCGCATCACTGTGGCTGTGTAGTGTATCTCACCATCCAGGAGCCTCAGTCCCTCCTCTTTGCTGCTGTGTAAAAACTGACCTAAATAATTGCAGATATTTGTCCTTCCATAGTAATTTTAGAAGAAGTCGTAAGAGTTTCTAGAATTCTAGATTTGCACATTTTAGTTTTTCAGGGTTGGGCGAGGTGAGAGGGGTTTGACCATGAAGATTTTGGAAGGCAGAGGAGAAAGAAGCCCGTGTTTCTGGTTCTGGTCTTCTCTCCACCTCTTCCCACCCAGCCAGGGTTTTCAGGCAACAGATACGTGTTGAGCTCCGTGTGTGTGCTGGGCACCTGCTGCCTGTGTGAGGTGGAGGAGCAGACAGACCATAAACAAATGTACAAAAAAGAAAAAAAAAGCATGCCCAGGACTAAGTGCTGTGAAGAAGGTGAGCCGCTAATTTGCAGGGAGGAGGCTGCGCCGGTGGGGAGGTGGGCCAGCCCTTCCAGAGGCACTGTCAGTGCTGAGATCTGAGCGGGCCACGGAGCCAGCTCTGCAGACAGCTGAGCGCAGCGCAGGCAGGAGGAACAGTGATGGTGGCCACAGGCTGGTCGCACGGCAGTCCACAGGGCCTGAGCCAGCAGGGTCAGGGCACAGTGGTAGAGGTGAGGCCAGAGACATCAGCACTGCCTGTGGGCCACTAAGGAGCCTGCGTTTTCCCCCAAGGGCTTCTAAGTGGGGGCATGAAAGACCTTTGGTTATGCTGTTAACCACCTTCCTCTTCTTCCCCAGCAAAAAAGGGAGAACCTGTCCCCGCTGTGCGTCATCCCCACCGTGACATCTCCCCGGGAGGAGCAGCAGCTCCTGGCCAGCACCTCCAAGGTGAGCTCCCACAGCCTAGCCCTGGAGGCGGGGCCTCTCCCTACAGCCTGACCCCCCTCCCTCTGTCCTCTCCCCCCACAGCCCGTGGTGAAACTCCTGCACAACCGCAGTAACAACAAGTACTCCTACACCAGGTGACGCGGGGGCGGGGCGTGGGGGGCTGGGGCAGAGCCGGTGGGGGGGCGGGGGGGGCCCTGTCCCGGTCCCCAGCCACACAGCCTTAGGGCCCTGCAGAGGGACTCCAGCAGCGCCTGCCCTGGCACTCACCCCAGAGTGCTTTGGACAGCTCATGTTCACTTCTGAGCTTCAGGCCGGGGACCAGAGAGCTGGGGCCCAGGGGATTGGGTGGCAGTGGCAGTGGCAACGGCTGGGCCGTGCCAAGGGCGGATTTTTCTCTCTGGCATTGCTCTGGGTGCACCCTGCATGTCCACTTACACAGTCCTTGGTGACATACAGTGTGCTCGCGACTTCCATTTCACAGACGGGGGAGGGGCGGGGGGACTGAGGCACCGAGAGCTGAGGTGAATGGCCTGGTGTCACTGGATGGAGCCGGGCTGGCAGCAGCCTGGTTGCAGGGCCTCTCGGGGCACTGGCTTGCGCTCTGCAAATGCGCCTTCCTTTGGGCCCCAGAGGGTAGGCAGCTCCCTGGGGTTGCCAGACCACCCCCCCACCCCACCACAGGACCAGAGTGCTGGGAACCCGGGGGAGGGGGAGGGGAGGGCGGAGGGAGCTAGTGGCTGAGGCCCGGCCCCTCCTCAGCACTTCGGACGACAACCTCCTGAAGAACATCGAGCTGTTTGACAAGCTGGCCCTGCGCTTCCACGGGCGGCTGCTCTTCCTCAAGGACGTCCTGGGGGACGAGATCTGCTGCTGGTCCTTCTACGGGCAGGGCCGCAAGATCGCCGAGGTGTGCTGCACCTCCATCGTCTACGCCACGGAGAAGAAGCAGACCAAGGTCAGCAGGGCTCAGGGCCTGGCGGGCGGGGGGGCGGCCGGGAGCCGGGAGCCAGGGTTCCGTGGTTCGGGGTGTAACCCAGGGCAAGTCACCTCTGTGTGTGTGTGTTTCTCTCACTCTCTCTCTTTTTTAACGATGGGCTGATTTGAAAGGCAGAATGACAGAGGGACAGACAGAGATCTTCCGTCCACTGGTGGACTCCCCAGATAACCAACAGGTAGCGCTAGGCCAGGCCGAAACCAGGAGCCAGCAAGTCCATGCAGTCTCCCACGTGGTGGCAGTGGCCCCAGCACTCGGGCCATCACCTGCCGCCTCCCAGGCGTGTTTGCAGGAAGCCGGATGGGAAGTGCGGGGCGGTGGGGGAACCAGCACTCTGATATGGATGCAGGCTCCCACAGCAGCGTGGCCCCCTGTGCCACAACGCCCACCCCTCTCGGTTTCACTGCCTGTGAAATGAAGGTGCTGATTAGAGCAGGACTCAGCCTCAGCCCATGGGAAGAGTTTTAAGGCTATCTGTAGTCCCCAGAGAGAATGCTCAGGTTTGGGGGTGGGGTGTGCCTTTTCCCATATGGAAGGTCCATAGACACCCGGAAATGTCTGTCACCACCTAGAGGGTGTTTTTTTTTTTTTAATTTTTTTAAGATTTACTTTATTTATTTGAAAGGCAGAGTTAGAGAGAGAGAAAGCGCCTCCATCCGCTGGTTCACTCCCCAAATGGCCACAATGACATGGGCTGGGCCAGGCTGGAGCCAGGACCCTCTTCCGCGTCTCCCATGCGGGTGCAGGGGCCCAAGCTCCTGGACCCTCCTCCCTTGCTTTCCCGGATGCGTTATAGGGAGCTGGATGGGAAGTGGAGCAGCCGGGAGCGCCAGCGCCGCAAGCCGGGGCTTCGCCGCTGCACCCCCACAGCGAGGCTCTTACGAACTTCGGACCAGATGGCCACTTAGATCTCGCTGGGCTTGCAGGCCCTGAGTCTCACACGACAGCAGAGGCTTCCCAGCACCTGCTCCATGTGAAGCACCGCAGCCAGGCTCCACTCCAAGGGGACCGGCGTGCTGAGGGCAGGGGCCGCCCGAGGTGGATGTGGTGGGTGATGGATGCCCTCGGCCCCCTCCCCCCAGTCACTGCGAGTCTCCCAGTAGCCTGTGCTGTTTCACACCTGCCTCTGCGCACACTCTTCCCACATTTTGGAAAGGTCATTCATTCATTCATTCATTCATAAGGCAGACAGAGGGGTGGATCTTCCATCTGATGGTTCACTTCCCAGGAAGTGAAGCTCCTGAAGCCAGGAGCCAGGGATTCCATCTGGGTGTCCTGTGTGGATCCAAGCACTTGGACCACCTTCCACTGCTTCCTGGGTATACTCGCAGAGAGCCGGACTGGAAGCAGAGCAGCTGGGACTCGAACCGGCACTCTGATATGGGACATAGGCATCGCAGGCGGCTGCTTAACCTGTCGTGCCACACTGCTGGCCTCTTCTTCCTCATCCCTGTGCCTAAAGGACACGTATTTCATTTTTAGGCCCAAGCTGACCAGCACTTTCTTTGTGACACTTTCCCTCATGAACTTTCTTTAAAAAAAAAAAAGAAGAATTATACATAAATATATATTTTATTTTATTTTATTTTTTTGACAGGCAGAGTGGACAGTGAGAGAGAGAGACAGAAAGGTTTTCCTTTTGCCGTTGGTTCACCCTCCAATGGCTGCCGCGGCCAGCGCGCTGCAGCCGGCACACTGTGCTGATCTGATGGCAGGAGCCAGGTACTTATCCTGGTCTCCCATGGGGTGCAGGGCCCAAGCACTTGGGCCATCCTCCGCTGCCTTCCTGGGCCACAGCAGAGAGCTGGCCTGGAAGAGGGGCAACCGGGACAGAATCCGGCGCCCCAACCGGGACTAGAACCCGGTGTGCCGGCGCTGCAAGGCAGAGGATTAGCCTAGTGAGCCACAGTGCCGGCCAAGAATTATATATAAATATATAAATTGGAGAGGCAGAGAGCTGCCATCCACTAGTTTACTCCCCAAATGCCCACTATAACAGGCTGGGCCAGGCCAGAAGATAAACCAATCATAAGAGTGCATCTTGGCCGGCGCCGCGGCTCACTAGGCTAATCCTCCGCCTAGCGGCGCTGGCACACCGGGTTCTAGTCCCGGTCGGGGCGCCGGATTCTGTCCCGGTTGCCCCTCTTCCAGGCCAGCCCTCTGCTGTGGCCCGGGAGTGCAGTGGAGGATGGCCCAAGTGCTTGGGCCCTGCACCCCATGGGAGACCAGGAAAAGCACCTGGCTCCTGGCTCCTGCCATTGGATCAGCACAGTGTGCCGGCCGCAGCGCGCTGGCCGCGGCGGCCATTGGAGGGTGAACCAACGGCAAAGGAAGACCTTTCGCTCTGTCTCTCTCTCTCACTGTCCACTCTGCCTGTCAAAAAAAAAAAAAAAAGAGTGCATCTTGATTAGGACATGCCCACTACAACAGAGGCTGGGCGGGGCTGGAAGATTAACCAGTCATGAGAGTACATCTTGATTAAGAGCTGTGGTGGTTCCCGCCTTCCAAGGCCAGGCATCCTCTTGGCTTCATCCTTTCTGCTCTGCCTCCATCCCAGTGGCACTGGCCTGGCTGACCCTCGCTCCTGACCCAGAGCTTTCACATTTGCCCCTCCCCAGACAGACCACCACCTCTGGCTGTCCACCCAGGTGGACGGCACCTCAGGGAGGCCTTCCTGAACTGCCTGACATGGTGAGCCTCCTGGCTGTGGCCAGCCTCACCTGCCTCCTCTCCCAGCGTCTGTCATCATCCGACTCAGTTTACGTTTTCGTAAGTGTACGAGGCTACCTCAGAAAGTTTGTGGAGGAGTGGGATTACGAGATAAGTTTATTTTGGTGCCAAAGCATTTTGAAGTGCACGTGGTGTCTTTCATTACATGTATTTTCCACGGACTTTTTGAAGACCCTCATATGTGTGAGTCTCCCCACTAGAACGTAAACTCCCTGTGGGCAGGGGCTTTGTCCCCAGGGTACAGAGGGGCCCCGGGACAGCGTGGTCCCTGGGTGAGTATTTGCCACATGAAGAGACAAGGCCGCGGAGGAGCGGAAACAGTCACTCTGCCTGGGTGCAGAGCTGGGCCTTGAAGCGGGACTTTGCTGAGTAAAGACGTCGCAGGGGCCAGCGCTGGGACGTAGTGGGGAAAGCCGCCACCTGCGACACAGGCATCCTACGTGAGCGCCAGCTGGAGCCCCGGCTGCTCCACTTCCCATCCAGCTCCCTGCTACCAGCCTGAGAGATGCAGTGGACAACGACCCAAGTCCTTGGGCCCCTGCACCCATGTGGGAGGCCGAGTGGAAGCTCGCTCGCTTGCTCTCTCTCTCTCTCCTTCTCTCTCTGTAACTCGGCCTTACAAATAAATAAGTAAATCTTAAAAAAATGAAGAAGGTGCAGAGACATCCAGGCCAGTGCAGGAGCCGCCAGGGCTGGGGGCTGGCTCTGTGCTGCTGGACCACGGCGGGTTGTGACCTTGCGCAGGTGGAATTCCCAGAGGCCCGGATCTTTGAAGAGACCCTGAACATTCTGATCTACGAGACTCCCCGAGGCCCAGACCCTGCCCTCCTGGAAGCCACAGGAGGCGCGGCTGGAGGAGGTCGGGCAGGCCGAGGGGAGGACGAAGAGAACCGGGAGCACCGCGTCCGCAGGATCCACGTGCGGCGCCACATCACCCACGACGAGCGTCCTCACGGCCAGCAGATTGTGTTCAAGGACTGACCTTTGACCCTGCCCCGCCTTCCTGCCTCCCCACCCCAGCCCCTCCCTTTTTCCCTCCCCTTCCCAGACCTTTGCCCCGACTCTGCTGGCCAAGTCGTGGGTCTCCCCTTCACCGCATGTTCAGGTCACCGTGGCCCTTCTCCACCCGTTCCCACGCACTGCTGACACCACGGGGCGCCCCGCCCCCTCAGCAGAGCCCTCCCGCACTGAGGGCTGTCACCCATCCCACCGTTCCCGGCCTCGCCCTGCCGTCTTTGCCTGGCGGCTGGTTTTGAACGATTCCGAATCCCCTTTGTGTTTTTTTAGCATGTAGCCCACGCTCAAGTGTCAAGACAGACCTTGGCGACGGCCACCACCCCTGGAGCCCCCACCCCCTCCTTCCCCTGCCGTCCCCCATGCCCCGTAACTGTGGACTAGGCTGGCTTGGGCCTGGGCCAGCTCAGCCATCTTCTCGATCTGTTTCGTATTATTTATTATTTAAATTTTCTATTAAATTATTGGAATACAGTTGAGTAGCGGTGTGGTGCTGGCTCCCAGCAGAGGCACAGGGAGGCGGCCTGTGTTAAGGAGACACCTGACTGGTTCTGCAGGGGAGGACGGGCCCCTGCCCTGAGCCCTGTAGCCGGGAAGGAAGTAGTCGGCACACCAGAGAGGATCCAGAAGGTCTATTTCGGTGCCCACGCCACCTCCCTCAGCCTCCGCCCTCCCCCAGCCCCCCGGTCCCACGCTGGCCATCGCGCTGGCTGGCCCTCAGTGCGGCGTCTCCAGCTCAGATGTCCGCAGGGGAAGACAGCACTCAGGGGTCTGGTGCGAACACATAGTCCAGGGCCTGGCGCTCGGCCCCAGCCACATTGGGGTGCCAGAGGTCCACGATGAAGACCACTCGAGGCCCATCTTCGGGGGAGCCTAGGGCATGGGGGGACGGACGGAGAGCAGCACTCACCACACACGGGAGGGGGCGCGTGGGCAGGAAGTGTGAGGCCTCACTCTAACCCTTTGCATGCGTTGACTGAGCAAAACCAACTACAGCGCTGCCCATTCATCGCCATTTATCCAAAGTCACTGAGGCACAGCAGGTTAAGTGATTTGTCCAGGGTCCTAGCCGTGCATCTCCTTCAATGTGAGGGGCAGGGCAGGAGCCCAGCGGGCCAGGGCGAGCCCTGTGCTAACCACCTGACTGTGTGCCCACGTTCACCTAGGCAGCCACTTGGCAAGGCAGCTGCCCCACAGGTGATGGCCAAGGTCACGCGGCCGGGAAATGGTGCTGTTTGGGACAGGAGGTTGGTTGGGCCTGATGCCTCCGCCCTCAGCCCACTCACCTTCACTCTGCAGTCCCTCTTCTCCCTCCCCCAGCCCCCACTAGAATGGGAGCCCCCTTACCGTTATGGGCCACTGTGTGCAGGAAGGAGTCGTCCACCAGTAGGCAATGCCCCTCAGCCCAGCACTGGGGCTCGCCCCCGACCACCAGCTCACAACCAGGGGGGATCTTCAGGCCTGTGGGAAGAGAGCCCAGCGTCCAACACGCCTGCTGCGTCCACGAAGCCCACCCCAGTCGATCCGCAGACCCAAGGGTCGTCGGCACCAGGTTGTGTGGGGCCCTTCTTTGCTCTCTGGAAGGGGCACTGGATGAAAGGAGTACTGGGGGATGGGGAAGATCTGGGGAATGCTGCTTCTGAAGTGCCGTCCATTGTAGAGGAAACAGACGCCTTCCTGGAGGAGGTGGCGTCTCCTGGGCTTTCTGACAGTGGGGCTCAAGAACTTACTATGTGCTAGGCAGTCTCTCCATGAGGCCTAAGACCAACAACTCGAGCCTGGCCCCCCAGATCACATGGTTGAGTGTGGGAAGAAAACTGAGCAGCGAAATCAAATGATGGGACTAGGAAGGCATCCCGGAGGAGGCGTGGCACTGGAAACCTGGAGTCCTGAAGACAGGGCAGGAGTCTTCCAGGAGGCGGAGAGAGAGGGAAGGCATCGCAGGCGGAAAGTCCAGTATGTGTGTGGCATCTGCCAGGAGCAGCCAGGCGGCCTTCACGACTGGGCATGGTGGGAGGGGCCAGGGTGTCCCCAGGGACTGGCTACACAGATGACGTTGCCTGAAGCAAGGTCATGGCATGGAAGAACAATCGGAAAAATTCTTCCCATTTTCATTTGCTTTTCATCTTTAAAGCATAAAAAAAAAAAAAACCACAAAAATGCCTCTTGGGGTGCTACTGGAACGCTAACACTCCATCCCTTTTGAACAAAAAAATGTGGACTTCAGGCTAAGACGAGACTAGGGTATTTAACCTGAATGCTCAAAGCTTTTTTGAAAATTTGTTTTTGGGGACAGTGCTGTAGTGCAGTAGGTTACTCATCCACCTGCAGCACCGGTATCCCATAAGGGCACCAGTTCTAGTCCCGGCTGCTCCTCTTCCAATCCAGCTCTCTGCTGTAGCCTGGGAAAGCAGTAGAAGATGGCCCAAGTGCTTGGGCCCCTGCACCTGCATGGGGGACCAGGAAGAAGCTCCTGGCTCCTGGCTTTGGATCGGCGCAGCTCTGGCCGTTTCGGCCATTTGGGGAGTGAACCAGCGGAAGGAAGACCTTTTCTCTCTGTCTCTCCCTCTCACTGTCTGTAACTCTACCTCTCAAATAAATAAAATCTTAAAAAAATTTTTTTTTGTTTTAACGAATCATTTCGATTTAGGGCAAGGAATCCTCTAGAAAGATTCATTCTAAATAAGTAAAACAAGGCCCGAGGCGAGTCCATGGGGGGCAACGGTACAGGTGGAAAAGGACAGCCAAAGACGGTCTGCAGATAACTGAGGCTCAGGGCACCCTGCCCGGGGCAACGGGGAGCTGCCCTCAGAGGCCAGGCGTGAGTGCCGCGCTCGGCAGAAGAGGCGTGCAAGGGGTCGCGGAGCCCAGGAGGTCGTCTGTAGGCCGCTTCTACTTACCCAGATGGCATCGGACCCGAGCATTGGTGGGCCCGCAGCGGCCCTCGAGTCGGGCCCCAGGCAGGAGGACAGAAAAGCCAGCGTTGCCGAAGGTGTTGGCACTCATGAAGCTCCGCAGGCCCCTCAGTGCCCGATAGGCCCCCGGGCACCGGCGGCAGTTGCTGGGTTGGCACCGGCCTGCTTGGTATAGCAGGAGCTGGTAGCACCCAGGGGCCAGGGGTGGGGCCCAGCCCCGAGGCGGAGGGGCAGTCCCTGAGAAGTCCCAGCTCACGGCCCCAAAGTCACGCAAAATGGCAGGGAAGCTGCTCTCCAGGAGCTCCACGTCGTGCCGCTGAGCGTCCCGCGGCACGAAGGGTGCTGAAGGCAGGTCTGGTAGGAAAAGCAGGCCTGGGCGCTGAATGCCCAGGACCCCTGGCCCGCCCCCGGGGCCTGGGCCACCCTGGGCAGCCCTCCTCACCCTACCCATGCCAGCCCAGGAGTAGCGCCGGGCATAGGCCCGAAGCCGACGGCTCACGAGACCCTCTGTCCTGGTTCCTTCCCCGGTCTCCCCAGAGCTCCTGGGGCCTGGCCTGCCGGCCTCAGGGCACCCCCCAGGCCGACCCCTGACACCCCCAGCCCGGCTCCCGGCTCCCAGGGCCTGCATGTCTTGGGAACCCAGGCGGTAGCAGTACCAGAGGAAAAGGGAAGTGAGTGCTCCGAGGAGCACGGTGAAGGCCGAGGAAGCCAGGGGCAGTGGCCATGGGAGCATGACGGGCAGGGAGGCCCTGGCCAGGAGCCCTGGGGCATCTTCTAGACCCCAGCTCCCCTGTGCCCCCAGCTCGCCACCTGTCCCCTCCATGGTTGCTCCCTGGGCCGACTGTCTCTCTCCCCTCCTTCCCGCACCTGGAGCCCCTGCCTCCCCCTCCGCTCCTATCTCTCACCCCTCTCTCCTTCCACCCCTTCCTCCCTCTCCATTCAGCTGTCTCCTCGCCCTCCGCCCCTCCCCCACTCCTTTCTCCTCCCGGCAGCCTCCTCGCTCCCTCTCAGCCCTCCACCCCCGTCTCTGTGCGTGCTCCCTCGCTCTCCCCCTTTTCCTACCCGACCCCGGCCCCGCACCCCGGGACCCCGCAGCCCGTCTTCCTCCGTGGCAGCGTCTCCTTCCTCCCTCTCGTCTCCTCCTTGCTCTCGCTTCTCCCTCGAGCCCACCTGCCAGTCCTGCCTCTCCCGGGCTCCCTCGCTCCTGCTCGCTCCTTCCTTGGCTCCCACTCACCCTGACGTCACTCCTCCCCACAACCCTCTCAGTTTAGCTGCCTTGACCCCTCCCAGTGGCAGCCGCAACTCAGCCTCGGGGGGTGTTCCTCCGGATTTTCCTCCCGCACCCCCCTCGCCCCCGCGCTGCCGGCCCCGGCCCCGGCCCCGGCCGGACGCCACGTGGGGTGCAGGGGGCACAGTGCCAGCCTCCGGCCGCCCCGCAATGCGAAAAGAAGGGGCGGGGCCGGCCAGGGGGCGGGGCGAGCGTGCGGACCGCCGGCCCCCGCCGGCCCCGGGACTGCGGGCAGGGACGCCGCGGCCCATCGGAAGGTCTGCGGGTCCCGGGAGCGGTCAGCCTGTGCTCCCCCAACCCCCTCGGCCTTCGGAGAGCCGGCCCGGGGCGGGGACCGATGAGCAGTGAAAGAAAGCAGCTTCCGCCAATCGCCGGCGGCTCTCCGAAGCGGGGGCGGGCCGCTCGCGGGGGCGGGGCGGTGGGCGCTGTCCGCGCCCAGTGGTTCTGAAAAGGACGTGCCGGCGGGTCGGAGTCTGGTGTTTGGGAGAGGAGGGGGTCTCCCCTCCCCAGACCCCGGCCGGGCCACCCCGAGGACTTCCCGGAACCACGGAGAGCCGCCCTTGCCCTGCGGGCGGGGAGAGCCCGTTCGTTCCACCTGAGCTCCTGTGGAAGGCCCAGGGAGGTCCCACGGCGGCGTCCGGATGCGGGAAGGAGGCCGACCGGGAGGTTTAACAGGCGCGAACCAGGCTCTGCCGGCCCTCGGCGCCCGGGGACGAGGAGATTTAGATTCCAGATGTGCTGGAATGGCGGGGGGAGGGGTCTAATTGCTGCTGGGACCGGAGAGTTTCCTTTGCACCCCCTAGGGGCCGCGGGAGTGCGGATTACGGTCCTGGCTCGTAAGATCCCACCTCCCTCCATCTGCACTTCCTCCTCCTCCCTCCCCCACAAATAAATCCCAGGCCCCTCCCTTCGCCCGTCCCCAGGATCTGACGTGAGCTCGACACCTCTCTCAGATTTTGCCTCCCGCAGCTCCAGTGCCCAGAGCATCCTCTCTCCGGGTTCCGCAACCCCATCCCCTCCCCTAGAGCCCCCTAGAGCCCAGTAGGAAGCTTCCCGATCCTCGACCCCACCCTAGGCCCCCGGAAGCTGCCTTCCTCCTCCTCACTTCTCGGGCTTGGGATCCAGCCGGATGGACCCAGGTTGCAGAGCGAGAGGGTAACCCAGGCGACCCGGCCCCTTCGGCCCTCTCAGCCCCACCCCCTGCAGCCGGAGCCGCGCCCCCCTCTACCACCGATCCCGGAGCAGAGGACAGAAGAGGCTGAGCAAAGGGGGGTGGGGGCTCCAGGCAACACCCAGCCCAGTTCTGCCCCTCCATTCCAAGGGGCAGATAAATTGTATTCCTTTGCTGACCCTTTAGCAGGGGAAAAAATAATAAAGAGAAAGATAAAAGGAGACGGAGGAAAGGTGGCAGCCAGATTGCTTAGGAGAGAAGAAATCGGGGTGAGTCGCCATGGGGACTCCCAGGGCCCAGCACCCGCCGCCTCCCCAGCTGCTGCTCCTGATTCTGCTGAGCTGTCCCTGGATTCAGGGTAAGGACATGAGCATGGGGGGCGGGAAGGGGGGGAGGCCCCCACAGGTCCTCCGCCTTCCTTTCTCCAAGCATCCTGGTCTCCGGAGCTCGTGGGGGAGGGGAGGGGCACAGTGCATGTGAAGGAGGAAGCCAGGGCTCTCTGGCTTGTGCTGGGAGCCCCTTGTGCCTAACGTTGAGGGAGTGGGCCAACAAGAGGTGCTTTTGGCTGCCTCTCAAGGGTTAAATCCAGGAAGGAGGGCTGGGGAAGTTGGGGGGATATCTGCGGAGGCAGGCGGCAGGAGCACGCGGGGTACCTGGGTGGGAGGTGGAGGGTGCTGGGAGAGACGCCAGGCTCTGCTCTTGGACATCTGGACAAAGACAGATGAACGGAGGCAGGGTTCAGAGAGCGGATACTCAGTCTCCCAGCCAGACTCTCCAGAGAAGGAGGCAGAGACTGCAGGGGGAGAGAGAGAGAGAGAGAGGGAGAGAGAGAGAGAGAGAGAGAAGAGACAGCCACACTGCAGAGACAGAAACCCTGAGAGAAAGCTGAACACTGCGGGAACAAGGGCTCCGAGGTGCTGCCAGACCCTCTGCAGAGTCTCAGGGTCCCGGCGGCCGGGGACTGGGGGGGAGGACAGCACCATGGAGCGGGGGAGGGTGGCAGCCCCAAAGGTCCCCTCCACCGTCAGCCCTGCTGGCGCTGTCCAGCATCCGTAAGTGCTCCATTGGACTGCTGGAGGCTCACGCGGCCGGGGGTGGGGTAGGGGTAGGAGTGTGAGGGGCAGCTGGGAACCACTCCTCCAGTCTTGGCTCTCAGCCCAGCCTGGGACCCTCTGAGGCCCTGCATGCCCAGCAGACGGAGGAGGGAGGAAGAACTCTGGAGGAGGGGATGTGGTGGGGAGCGGAGAGGCTCACACAGCTCCACCTTCTAGGTCTGCCTCTTCAGGAAGAGGAGACGCTGCCGGAGCCTGGCAGCGAGACCCCCACCGTGGCCTCGGAGGCACTGGCCGAGCTGCTCCACGGGGCCCTACTGAGGAGGGGCCCGGAGATGGGCTACCTGCCTGGTGAGGCGCCAGCCCAGAATGTGGGGAGTGGCACAGAGGTGGGGAGCCAGCCCAGGGCAGAGAAGGCTGCAGAACAGGGGGGCAAGGCTCCCCAGGAAGGCCGCTGGCATCCAGAGGGAGACAGAGTTGAGAAAGTTGGGGCAGAGTCAGAAGTGGGCATGGGCAGAACCTAAGACACAGAGGATGATTGACAGCTAGCCAGACACCCTCAGAGACACACAGAGAGAAAGATGAGTGGAAATTCTGAGACCTGTACCTTCTGGGGATGGACTTTGGGTTCAGGGGGAACCTCCACTTTCCCTGTGCACTGCTCCCCACTCCAGACCTCCCCCCATTTACTCCTTCTGTGCCCTGACTCCCCTTGTCCTGTCCCAGGATCTGATCCAGACACTACACTGGCCACCCCTCCAGCCGGCCAGACTCCCGCAGCACCCTACCTGCCACGGGCCACTGAACCAGCCACAGGGCCTCTGACAACAGCCGTAACCCCTAAAGGCGTCAGGGGGGCAGGACCCACAGCGCCAGAGCTGCTGACCCCGCCCCCAGGAACCACAGCCCCGCCCCCTCCCAGTCCCCCCTCCCCGGTCCCACCTCTGGGACCCGAGGGAGGAGAGGAAGAGACCACGACTACCATCATCACCACGACCACCGTCACCACCACAGTGACCAGTCCAGGTGAGGCCATGGAAAGGGGGTGGGGGAGGAGGTTGTGGGTTGGAGGAGAGACTGCTGGGAACGTGGGAAGAAGGAAGCTCCTCCAGGCTTCAGCTCATAGCATCAGACAGGCAGGGATGAGTCCTTGCCACAGCCTGCACTGTCCATCTGTTGCGCCTGGGAAGAGGGTTCTGGGTACAGGTGGGAGAGGGAGCCTGGGAAATGTTGGCGAGGGGCACGGGGAGAAGAGAGTGAAGGGGTCACCCCCAGCCACCGGCATCTCTTTAGTTCTGTGCAATAACAACATCTCCGAGGGCGAAGGATTTGTGGAGTCTCCAGACTTGGGGAGCACCGCCAGTCGCACCCTAGGACTCCTGGACTGCACGTACAGCATCCACGTCTACCCTGGCTACGGCATTGAGATCCAGGTAACGAGGCCCAGGCCTGGGCACTTCCCAGCCCCTGCCTCCCGGCTCTGCTGACTCAGAAACTCACCGCGGTGTTTGGGCTGCTCCACCCAGACAAGGAAGGTGGCAGGGGGCTTCGGGGGTCACATCCCAACCCGATCTGATTTGCCCTGGTGAGTGTGTGTCTGCCGTCTTTAGGTCCAGACACTGAACCTGTCTCAGGAGGAGGAGCTCCTGGTGCTGGCTGGAGGGGGCTCCCCAGGCCTGGCCCCCCGACTCCTGGCCAACTCTTCCATGCTGGGACAAGGACAGGTCCTTCGGAGCCCAACGAACCGGCTGCTCCTGCACTTCCAGAGCCCGCGCGTCCCACGGGGCGGTGGCTTCAGGATCCACTATCAGGGTGAGGCATCTGGGGGTGCCGGTGGACGGGCAGGGGGGTCATCCTGGGCGCAAAAGGAGCTTCTCCAAGACACAAGGCACTGAGAGGGACCCTGGGCAGCAGGGCTCTGAGGAGACTTGTGCACACCGAGGTCACACACTCACAGACCTGTGCCTGAGGGGTGCCTGCCTCCAAGTGCAAGTTCTCTCACTCCGCTCTAGAAATGCTTATGGAGCACCTGCTTCATGCCAGGCCCGGTGTTAGCCGCGGACCTGACTTTAAGGCACTCAGAATCTAGACAGCAACCAGGATGGTTACCATTCCGCGAGAAGAGCTGAGAGGAAGGAAAGCCAGGCGGGCAGAGCAAGCAGTTGCAGGGATGTGGGGACATGTGTCTGGAGAAGGTGATGACTAAGCTGGGCCCTAAAGGATGAGCTGGCCGAGGGAGACAGGGAAGGAGGCAGATGTCTGAGTGGATGAGAAAGCACAGCCCAGACCCAGAGAGGAGAGAACACGTGACTCTCTGGCCTGCAGGGCAGGATCGTCCTCGCTGCTGTGTGACCTGGGACCGTTTACCCAACCTTTCTGTGCCTCATGGTCTCGTCTGAAAGATGGGGATGAGCGCACTTCCTGTGCGATATTGTGAGGGAGATCAAATGAGTTCACGTTGGTCAAGGGCTTCAGACAGTGTCTGGGACACGGTGAGACCTCGACGATTACGTCACTCGCTGCCTTCAGGGTCAGGGGTCAGAGGTCAGAGGTCAGGAAGGGCCAGTCTGGGAGACAGGTTGGCCTCCGATCAGAGAGAGGTTTATCAGCTTCAGGCTGCTGTGTGTCACCTGCGACAGGGCAACGTGTGGAATCTTTTCATCGGGGAGCAGGAGCCTCGGCCTTGTGCCTTAGGTCTCTCTGATGTCTGGACTGTGTGTGGCGTGGCAGAAGCAGGGATGTACCCGTGCATGGCTGCATTCCCGACACGCACCCGCAGCCGGCCTGCACACGTGTGAACACGCATACTCGCCCGTATTCAGGAACCCTCCCACAGTGTGTGTTCTAGCACACGTGTGCATGAAGCAAGGGGCCCAGCCCATGTCCCCACTGCAGACACTGCTGGATCCTGCAAAGCCCCTTCCTATGCTCTTAAAAAAAGAAAGAAGAAAGGAAGATGTACTTACTTATTTGAAAGGCAGAGAGAGGGGAGGAGGGAGGTCTTCTACCTGCTAGTTCACTCCCCAAATGTCTGCAATGGCTGGGGCTAGGCCAGGCCAAAGCCAGGAGCCAGGAGCTTCTTCCAGGTTTCCCACATGGGTGCAGGGGCCCAAGCACTTGGGCCATCTTCCGCTACTTTCCCAGGCGCATTAGCAGGGAGCTGGATCAGAAGTGGAGCAGCCGGGACACAAACCAATGCCCATACGGGTTGCCAGGGTTACAGTCAGCAGTTTAATCCGCTACACTCAATGCTGCCCCCCCTTCCTGGGCTCTCTGGAGAGAGTCACTGGGGGCCTGGCCTGGCTTCCCGTATGCTAGCTGCCCGCCCCCCACCCGCTGAACTCTGTCATGGCACTATAGCCAGGATACAGCCTCTACTTGGCTTCCTTGGCATCTCTTGGACCTGTCCCAGGGGCTCCTGTGCCCAGTAGGGTGCCCACCAACGAGGCATATTCATGGGGAGACCAGCGAGGGAGCTGGGGCCACGAGCTTGGCGGTGGAGGCCTGGGTGTTGGGGGAGCGGGAGCGAGCCCCGCAGGTCCGGGGGCCTCCGACTGGACTCTCCGATGTTACAGAACGGCTCCCCCTGGCTGCTTTCAGCAGCCACTTCCCTGGGGCATTGAAAATAGGACTCTCCAGGCTAACTGGAACATTGGGGAAGCTGCGCTATTGCATAAACGGGCCTTCGTTACCTGCACCCATCTTCTCGGCTTTGCGGCTTTGCCGTGCCTTTGGGACCGACCCGGGTCCTGTTTAAGCCATTGGCCACCTGCACCCATTGGCTGCCCGCACCGACGGGGACCCCGGTGTACTGTGGCCTCACACGCTCCTCTGAGAGGTCCAAGGCCCCATCCCCTGGTGCCCCGAGCCCTTCACCAGCCATTGCCTGGGTGGGTTGCTTCTCGTAGCCATTCCGGGAGCATCCAATGGCGAGCTACATCGATGCATGCGCTCAGGGCCAGCCGGCCCATCCCGGTGGCCTTGACTCCCGGTCATTCATTAATGGAGCCCAAGGGGTGGGATTTTCATGTCCTCTGAGCACCCTGCTGGGCTGTGCCTGTTTCTTTGATAGAACTTTCAGGCCACTTCTTACAGATGGGAGTTAACAGCTTGGAAGCTGTGGTCCCAGAACCGGAATTCAGCTCTGCCTACCTCCAGATTGATCAACTTGGCTCGGCTTTTAGGAGAGAAACGCAATGAGGCCTTGTTTAGTCTCACAGAGGTGCTAGACAGTGGTTAACATGATGGGGAAGAAAAAAAAAATACGCATGCCAGATTACCTAGAGAGAAGAAGGAGAGCTGTCGGAGAGAGAAGTCAGGAAGGCTTCCTGGGAGAGGTGGTATTTGATGTCCTCCTTGGAAGTGTGAGAGAGGGCGTTCTAGATCAGGGTGAGGGCGGGAGCAGAATGATGTGTAGGGCAGGAGCTGTGTGCTGTACAGGGGACCTGGACGCCAAGGAACGCATTCACGCTGCCTCTGCAGCTAAGCTTGATGGAAACCACCCGGTTCTAAGTTGTTGTGGGGGTCTGTCTATCTCAGTAGACTGAGACCCTCAGAGGGCAAAGTCGGGGTCTTTGTCACTCCCCCTCCCAGGGTCCAGCTTGAGTTTTTGAAAAGAGGGAGGGACTGGGTCTTTCACAAAACCACCGAGGGTTGGAAATCAGAGAAAGCAAAGGCCCAGGCAGGCGGGGGTCTCCCAAGCCCTCTGCTGCCCAGAACCTGCCCCTCCTACAAGACACGGTTTTGGTGTGCTTCCTCCAGGAAGCCCTTCTGGGTGAGTTCTGCCAGCTTCTGAAATGTAGGCACACAGAAATCCGTCAGGGTCAAGTTCAGAGCTCATCATCTATAACAAGGAACTTTCCATTTCTTTCTTTTATTCCATAGGCTTCCCTAAGAATTTCAGGAAGCTTTCAGAAAGAATGCAAGCAGTGCCATTAAATAGAATAAGTAAGAAAAAAATGGCGGGCTGGCGCCGCGGCTCACTAGGCTAATCCTCCGCCTAGTGGCGCCGGCACACCAGGTTCTAGTCCCGGTCGGGGCGCCGGATTCTGTCCTGGTTGCCCCTCTTCCAGGCCAGCCCTCTGCTGTGGCCAGGGAGTACAGTGGAGGATGGCCCAGGTGCTTGGGCCCTGCACCCCATGGGAGACCAGGAAAAGCACCTGGCTCCTGGCTCCTGCCATTGGATCAGCGCGGTGCGCCGGCCGCAGCGCACCGGCCACGGTGGCCATTGGAGGGTGAACCAACGGCAAAGGAAGACCTTTCTCTCTGTCTCTCTCTCTCACTGTCCACTCTGCCTGTCAAAAAAAAAAAAAATGGCGGCGGGCCACACTTAGTAGAGCTGAGAAGACAGAGTATGGCTGGACAGGCCATTGCGGCTAGGGCCACGCCTTAATATGGTTCCAAGCTACCTGGCAGCCAATGCAAAAAGGGAAATTGTATAGTTCTCCTTGCAGGAAAGAAGACAAATCCATTTTTCAAGGAAGGCAAACTTTTCTTAGTACTTCAGCTGCACTGGGGGGGTTCACTTGAGGGCACCAACTGTTAAGATCTTTAGTGACAGTCCCTAAAGAAGTGCCGTGTAGTTCCTCTGGGTGGAAGCTGAGGGTGTATTATCCCAAGGCACCTCTGTGGAAGAAAGCCTGTGTGTGTGTGCGTGTGCGTGCGTGTGTCTCTGTGTGTGTGTGCACACACGTGTCTGTGTGCATGTGCGTGTGTCCAGGCCTCTGTGTGTGTGTGTGTGTTTAGGGGAGCATGTGTGTCTACGAGGCATTTCACAACTTGGAGGCTCACTTTCCACATCTGGAAAATAGGTCACTCAGCCTTTGCCTGCCTCAAAGCCACCATGCGAGCTCGCTTTGGCAATTAGCCCTGCAGTACTATTTATTATTATTAGAGCTGGCTGGAGTTCAGAGCAGTCAACTGGTTTGCCTGAAGTCACACAGCCTACGAGTGCCCAGGGTTCTGAATAGCCTGGAGCCTCAGCTCCCACATGCACAAGCTGGGGGCCCAAGTGGGCCAATTACACGGATGAGGGGAGATAGAGGGGGTGGTGAAATGACCTCATGGGACAAGGCACCTGCGCGAGGGTCCTTATTCTTACGGGTGGACTCGCGGGGAGAACTAATTTGTGCCGGGGAGTCCAGGCCAGGCCGGTGTGTGTGTGTGTGTGTGTGTGTGTGTGGATTGGTCTGAGGGTCGAGTGCGTGTAGAAGCATTGACTCCCTCCGCACTCCGCTGCTGCAGCCTACCTGCTGAGCTGTGGCTTCCCTCCGCGGCCGGCCCACGGGGACGTGAGTGTGACAGACCTGCACCCTGGGGGCTCTGCCACCTTCCACTGTGACTCAGGCTACCAGCTGCAGGGCGAGGAGACCCTTGTCTGCCTCAATGGCACCCGGCCAGCCTGGAACGGCGAACCCCCCAGCTGCATAGGTAAGTCACCTGCCCTAGGTGGGTGGGGGCAGCTGCCCAGGGAACCCCATCGGGAGGGTCCTATCTTGGGGGTCCCTGTGTTTGGAAGGAAGCCCATCCCGAAGGGGTTTCTGCCGGAAGAGTCTGTGTCCTGGAGCTCACTGCACTGGGCGTCTCTATTCTTGGGGAGCCTCCATCTTGTGAGCCTGTCCCCCACCCCACCCCCATTCTAAATGACCCCGGAAGAAGCTGTTTTGGGGGCCACCACTGGAGGCGCTCTCCCCCAGGGAAAGCCTTCATCCAGGGGAACCCCGCCTCCTTTGGCTCCTGTGGTCTCAGCCTTGTCATCTTGCAGTTTTTTTCCATCTGAGGGTTTTGGTCGGGAGCACCCCGCCCCAGGCGTCCACGTCTGGGGAGTCTTCATGTTAGTGGAATCTTCATTCTTGGGCGTGTCCATCCGGGCCCAGGTCCCAGCCAAAGGTGTGGGTGCCATGGCTCTGCAGAGGCACCTGAGCAGGGCTGAGCCCCGCCCCCTCCCCAGGCCGGGCTGTCACCTGTCACCTGCCCCTTCCTCTGCCCACAGCGTCCTGTGGAGGCGCCATCCACAATGCAACCCTGGGCCGCATTGTGTCCCCTGAGCCTGGGGGAGCCGCTGGCCCCAACCTCACCTGCCGCTGGGTCATTGAAGCAGCTGAGGGCCGCCGGCTGCACCTGCACTTTGAGAGGGTCTCGCTGGATGAGGACAATGACCGGTGAGCATCTGGGTCTTGGGCCGGAAGTCCCCATCTCTGGTTGCTGGGAGTTAGCTCATCCTGGGATGGACCTGGGTAGGGTGTATCAAACATGGTGTGGCCCTAACCCTTTCTCAGGGAGCTGAGCTGTGCAGCCTAAGATCACTTCCTCGCTCTGTGCCTTGGTTTTCTTATCTGTAGAATGGAGCTAATGGGGCCTCCCCCTCTGTGAGAACAAATGCATTAAGAAATGGGAAGTACACAGACCAGTGCCTTAAGCATCAATGTGCACTGTTTGCTGCATTACTGTTGTCATTCTTATTTATTTATTTATTTATTTATTTGAAAGGCAGAGATACAGAGAGAGAAGGGGAGAGAGAGAGAGAGAGAGAGGAGAGATTGATTTCTCATCTGCTGGTTCACTCCCCAAATAGATGCAACAGCCAGGGCTGAGCTAAGCTGAAGCCAGGAGCCAGGAGCTTCTTCTGGGTCTCCCACGTGGGTGCAGGGGCTCAAGCACTTGGGCCATCTTCTACTGCTTTTTCAAGGCACAGTAGCAGGGAGCTGGATCGGACGTGGAACAGCCCAGACCCGAAGTGGCACCCATATGAGATGCCCGCACTGCAGGCGGAGGCGTAAGCTTCTATGCCACAGTGCCAGCCCCCATCATTGTTTTTAAAAGAACATTATTTAGTTGAGAGAGAGAGAGAGAAATCTTCTATCTGCTGGCTCACTCCCCAAATACTCACAACAGCCAGGTCTGGGCCAGGCAAAAGCCAGGAGCCTGGAGCTCCACCCAGGTCTCCCATGTGGGTGGCAGGAGCCCTGGTGCTTTGAACCATCCTCCTCTGCCTTTCCAGGCATGTTAGCAGGAAGCTGGGTCGGAAGCAGAGCAGCTGGGACTCTAACCAGCACCCCAGTGTGGGATGGAGGTGTTCCTGGCAGTGGCTTAACCCACTGCACCATGACTCCCGCCCCCATCATTTTTTACCCTTGTGGAGCCCCAGTTCTGCCGTATGATCTTGGGCAGGCATTATTAATCTTTCAGAATAATAGTATCTGATTCAAGAGTTCTTGTGAGAGTTAAACAAGATGAAACTTGCATCAGCCTCAATGAGTGCAGGGCCGTAGTTTTTGACACTAAGAGCTATTTCTAAAAATGAGTCAGGGGCCAGCACTGTGGCATGGTGGGTAAAGCTGCTGCCTGCAGTGCCGGCATCCCACATGGGCGCCGGTTCGAGTCCTGGCTGCTCCACTTCTGATCCAGCTCTCTGCTATGGCCTGGGAAAGCAGTGGAAGATGGACCAAGTCCTTGGGCCCCTGCACCCACATGGGAGACCTGGAAGAGTCTCCTGGCTCCTGGCTTTGGATGCGGCCCTTTGGGGGAGTGAACCAGTAGATGGAAGACCTCTCTCTCTCTGCCTTTCTGTAACTCTTGAAATTAATTAATCTAAAAAAAAAATAGGGAGCAGGCAGGAGGTGAGGCAGCTTCTACAGGGATGTGGGGCGCCTAGCTAGCCTCTGTGTCCCCCCAGGCTGCTGGTGCGCTCAGGGGGCAGCCCCCTGTCCCCAGTGATCTACGACTCGGACATGGATGACGTCCCCGAGCGGGGCCTCATCAGCGACGCTCAGTCGCTCTACGTGGAGCTGCTGTCGGAGACGCCCGCCAATCCCCTGCTGCTCAGCCTCCGATTCGAAGGTAATCCTCTCCAAACCCACACCTTCCCCTCTGCCTGACCCCAGGCCCAGCCGTGAACACACTTGCTCATCTGAACCCAGGCTGGTCTCCCTCCTGCCCCCACACGACAAGGATCCCTTCATGGGGATCCCTCTCCTTCCCTGGGCAGCCTTTTCTATGTTAGGCGTCAAGTGCGGCTGGATCCAGGTGCTAGCCGAGACCCGTTCCCTCCATCTCCCTTTGCCCTGTGTTGACTTCCTCCTCGGGCAGGCGTTCTCTGTGTCACAGCCCTTGCTGCAGGCTTACCACCAATGTAACAAACCCGCCACAGGGAGCGAGCGCCCTTCTTTGCTGAGTGCATCAGCAAAAAAAATGCCAGGAAAGGCTCTCCTTGACCTGGTTAAATCCTGTGCCTCTGCCTGAGCCAATCACTGTGGCTGGGGAGCCATGCCTGTTCTGATTGGCAGGTCCGCATCCCGTGGCTGTTCCTGGCTGGCCCCAGGTGAGCCTGCTGGGCTGGGAGTGGGGAAGGTGTGCTTCCCCAAATGAGAACGGAAGAAGGAGGAACGGAGCTTGGGTAGGGAGAAACGAGGCCCGTGACCGTGGGAGAAGAGGCACCTGAACTTGGCATTAAAGGGTGGAGGGTATTTTAAAAGAGGAAGACTGAGAAAGAGCATCTCGGGGGAGGGGAACTGTGAGAGCCAAAAGCAGCGGGTAGAACAACGCCGAGCGTGTGCCGGAGACAGAATTGGAGCTGGGCTGGAGCACAGGTTTTATATGAAGAGTAGAGACGAAATGAGATGTTCAGAGGTGGGAGAAGCCAGTGACCAGTATGACTCATGAGAGAAATGGACTTGGCCTTGGGCCCTGCTGGGGGTGGGGGGGTGGGGTAGGATTTGGACTTGATACCTTACCAGATTAAGCAACGGTGAAATAGAACAGGAATGGATTGCACGATCAACTCTGCGGGTGTTGGGGTTGGGGGGAGGCTGGTCCTTGGTGAGAATCCCTGGTTTTGAGGCCTGAATCCACAAGTGTGGGCCACCAGAGCCTCATCAGTTTCATAGGCACCGAAGTCCCCCCGCACAGCTTGCTGTGCAGCTATGCAATCAGAGGGGGCAGACCCTGACACGCTCCGCACGTGGCTGGATCTGAATTAATGACCGAGCTCTGGACCTGCGGCAACAGCTTGGGTGCCAGAGCCCGACTGGCATTTTTACGGGGGCACACACACCTACACAAGCCAGCTCTCCAAAGACACCCCCGCCCTGCGCCGCCCCTCTTGGCTGTTTCCAGAGCCAAGTGTCTGTGGCTGGGAACCAAGCCATCTGGTTCCTCCATCGCCTGCTGGGGTGACCTTGGGGAAGTGGACTTTCCCATCTGCAGCCCGGACGTTTGCCTCCAGGGGCCTGGGGGGTAACAGGAAGGTGTGAGAGGAGTGTTGGGTTGCTAACAAGCTGGACAGTGAAAGCTAAGGCCAAGGGCACCGAGTTTTTAAAAAGCCCCCTGCATGGCCCCCGGCCTGAGTTCAGCCCACCCAGGCGTCTGTGTGACTGATCTCTCCCCAGCCTTCGAGGAGGACCGATGCTTCGCCCCCTTCCTGGCCCATGGCAACGTCACCACCACGGACCCCGAGTACCGCCCAGGGGCGCTGGCCACTTTCTCCTGCCTTCCGGGGTATGCCCTGGAGCCCCCAGGACCCCCCAACGCTATCGAATGTGTGGATCCCACGGAACCCCACTGGAACGCCACAGAGCCAGCCTGCAAGGGTGAGTGAGGGTCTTCAGCCTGCCGGCCGTTCAGGAAAGAAACCCAGCTCGCAAAAACCCACACGGGACAAGCCCTGTCCCCCCATATTGTCCCCTTAGCGGAATCATTGGTGGGCTTGTTGCTCAAATGTCTTTGGGAGCCAGACCTGGGATTGGGTGAGCTGGAGAGTGGGCGGGGCTAATGCAGAGCAGGGCTCAGGATTGGCCACAAGAGGACCTCGTGTGGAAAGAAGCAGGTGCACCTTAGGGCACAGCAAGGGCGTGTTGGGGTCTGGGGCATGTGCGCTGTGGCCAGGTGTGCGATGAGGACTGCAGAGATGTGGCATGGTGCCCACATGCGTCCTGAACTTAGTACTCCTCTGCCCCAGCCATGTGCGGAGGGGAGCTGTCGGAGGCAGCTGGCGTGGTCCTCTCTCCTGATTGGCCCCAGAGCTACAGCCCCGGCCAGGACTGCGTGTGGGGCCTGCACGTCCAGGAAGAGAAGCGCATCTTGCTCCAAGTTGAGATGTACGTTTGGGTCAGGCTGGGGGTGTGGTGGGTGTGGGCTTGGTGCAGTGCAGTGTGCACGGCCACACTGGGAGCCTGGCTGGCTCTTCTGTGTCCACCCAGACTTCGGGAGACGTGTGAGCTGATCAAAGAGGTGACCCAGGGTTCCGGACAGGGTGGCAGACCTGGGTGCAAATCAGTAGCCTGGCGATCTTGGACAGATAAACACAGTAATGCAGCCCTCATTAGGGGCTGTGGAGAACAAAGGGCTCTGGCCTCTGTCCCTAACGGCACGTTCCTGAGGCTGCCCCTGGAGCAATTTCCGGGGACCAAGGTCCAAACGGCTGCATCGTACCAGCATCCATGGTGTGTGTTGGGGGGGGGGGGAGGGTTGTGGGAAGAATCCAGTGAGCAGCTTGGGTGTGCTGGGCCAGTAGTGGGCATGGCCCCAAAGCAGGTGCTGAGGCGCCTCGGGAGTCTTGCGGGGTGACCATGAGTATGCGGCCTGTGATTGGTCAGAGCCGGTGCTCGGCTACGCTGCGGATCCCATGGTGATGGAGGAAGGCTTTGAGAGTGGGCGGAGCTGGTTGATGAGCAGGTTGAGGACTGGACGGAGCCGTAGAACAGGCGGAGCGCGGAGGGCTCAGCATAGAGGAGGAACCCAGGACCTGACAGCACTGAGGCAGTGCCAGGCCTGGGAGAGGGAAGGCGGGGCGGGGCTGGAGGGAGGAGGCGTTACTCCTGAACACAGTTGGGAACTGTAGAGTAACAGATGGGAGGGGCCGGCCGTGGCCCCGCCCTACTGCCTGGTCCCACCCCCCGCAGCCTGAATGTCCGCGAAGGGGACATGCTGACCCTGTTCGACGGCGACGGCCCCAGCGCCCGAGTTCTGGCTCAGCTGCGGGGCCCTCAGCCGCGCCGCCGCCTGCTCTCCTCTGGGCCGGACCTTACGCTGCAGTTCCAGGCACCGCCCGGACCCCCGAATCCGGGCCTGGGACAGGGCTTCGTACTGCATTTCAAAGGTACCGGGGCACGGAGGTCTCGGAAAGGGCAGGGACGCGGCAGGCCAGAGGTCCCGGAAGGGGCACCGGGTTGAAGCCCCCGAGGCTGAGTCAAAGGGCAGCCGCCAACGTCGCCTCCCGCCCCCGCAGAGGTCCCCAGGAACGACACGTGCCCCGAGCTGCCGCCTCCGGAGTGGGGCTGGAGGACGGCGTCTCACGGGGACCTGATCCGGGGCACGGTGCTCACTTACCAGTGCGAGCCTGGCTACGAGCTGCTGGGCTCCGACATCCTCACCTGCCAGTGGGACCTGTCCTGGAGCGCCGCGCCGCCCGCCTGCCAGAAGAGTGAGAAGGCCCCGCCCCGTCCCACCTGGGCCCCGCCCCCTGCCCTCGCGGCCCCGCCCCGTCCCACCCGGTCCCCGCCCCTCGACCCACCTGGGGCCCGCCTAGATCTTCCTTCGTCCATTGGCGCCCCGAAGCCGTCCTTACTGGGATCTCCTGCCTGTCTGCCCCGCTCTCCCGCCGTTCTGGGCTCCGTCCGCCCCCTTCTTCGTTTCACGGCCCTGCCCCTTCCCCTCCTGACCCCGCCTCTGCCCGGTCTGAGTCCCGCCCCCTCCGGTCCCCAAGGGGCTGGGTTCCACCAATGCTTGCTTCTCTCCCGTGCGCATCTCCCGGTCCCGGACCTTGGCGTTGTGGGGAGGCACTTGGCTAGGGCCGAGGTCTGCTGGGGACTTGGTGTTGTGAATGCAGCCCCGGACGCCCCATGCTGGGTTAGGGTTATGGGAAGGGGACTTGGGGTCCTCCCCACCCTGACAGAGCTCTCCATGTGGGAGGGGGACCCATAAGATCGATAGCTCAAGACTTCGCAGAGTGGGGGTGCCTTCGGGCCAGGGGCTTAACGGCTCTGAGCCCCGGCTTCCTCGCGGGCGCTGCAGGAACAGGGCAGTGAGAAGAGCAAAGCTTGTGCATGGTGCCTGGTGCTGTAAACAGTGAGTAAGCCAGGCCTGGCAGAAGCTCCAGGAAGGGCTGTGGGAAGAGGCTGGGTTCCTTCTCTCAGGGATGGGGCAGGAGACTTCCCGGAGGAGGTGGCATTTAAAGGAGCTGGGAGCGCTGATGCTTTTTAGAGGAGCAGAAAGCGATAGGAGGCTTGCCGCCGGGAACCCATGGTGAGACGCTTCAGGAAGTCGGATTTGGGCTGGATGCAAGGACAGCTCCCCTGTGGACACCGCTCCCGCCCCTGGGAGGATTCACAGGCTGGGGGAGGGCGTGTGTGCAGAATTCAGTGGGCCTCTCTGGCTGGGGCTCTGGAAGTGGCAAGGCCACACAGGGAGCCTGCCGCTGAGCCGAGACCCAAGTCTGCACTTCCCTGTCCAGTGTCTGTGTGGCCGTGACCCTGGGCAGGTTCCAGCTCTGGCTGAGTGACATGGGCCAGTCATGTGTGCTGAGCTCTGGACCCCAACCTTGACATCTCAGGGTAATCACGTTGTAAAACGTTTAGCAGGCTACCTGGCGCAGGTCTGTAGGTAAGAAATGGCTCTGATGACAACGTCCACAGCAGGGCCCCAGGCAGGCGGTGCCAGTGGGAGCTCCCGTAAGGCTTGGTGACTTTGCCTTTCTGCCACCAGTCATGACTTGTGCCGACCCTGGTGAGATCACCAACGGCCACCGCACCGCCTCGGACGCCGGCTTTCCCGTGGGCTCCCACGTCCAGTACCGCTGTCTGCCCGGGTACAGCCTGGAGGGGGCAGCCGTGCTCACCTGCTACAGCCGGGACACAGGGACTCCCAAGTGGAGCGACCGGGTCCCCAAATGCGCCTGTGAGTCTGGGGACCACCCTGGGAAGGGTGACCACATGCTGGGCCTGTGGCCGGCTGACTGGCACCCTCCCTGCAGTGAAATATGAGCCGTGCCTGAACCCTGGGGTCCCCGAGAATGGCTACCAGACGCTGTACAAGCACCACTACCAAGCGGGGGAGTCGCTGCGCTTCTTCTGCTACGAGGGCTTCGAGCTCATCGGCGAGGTCACCATCACCTGTGTGCCCGGCCACCCCTCCCAGTGGACCAGTCAGCCCCCGCTCTGCAAAGGTGCCTGGGCAGGAGGGGCAGGAGGGGCCGCTCAGGGGAGTGACAGGACGGGCAAGTCAGACAGCACGTCCCAGGCCGCTGGAGCAGGCTCCTGTGGGCGCTCATCCTCCGGGGCAGGTGCACAGGTGCTGGGGAGATTCTAGGCCAGGGATTCGAGCAGCGGGGGCCCTTGCTTTGCAAGTCCCCTGTGCCCTCCCTGGACGGGCCTCAGTTTCCCTGTCTCTGGCAAATTCTAGAGAGGTACTTGGCTCAGCCCGTCCAGGAAGCCTGGGGCTACAGTAGGAGGAAAGTGGCCTGCCCTGATCACTTCTGTTGCCCCCATCCCCGGCCCCGCCCCACAGCAAGGCTACGTTTAGGTTGAGCAGAGGGCAGAGAGAACCAGGCTGCCCAGCCCAGCCCCACTGGGCTCCGGCCCTCTCCCCAGCCTCCTTCCCTCCCTGGCTCAGACCCCGTCCCCCTCCCCCTCCTCTCCCCGCAGTGGCCTATGAGGAGCTCCTGGACAACCGAAAACTGGAAGGTCAGTGAGTGAGGGCACAGGTGGAGCCCCCGGCCTGGTAGGCCAGGAGGGCAAGGCAGAGACTGGGGGCAGGAGGGGTGAGACCCAGGGCTCAGGGCCCCGGGGCCGGAGGCTGGGAGAGCCTAGGATGGCGCCAGCCTGGGCTCACTGGCCTCCTGCCTTTCCATCCGCAGTGACCCAGACCACAGACCCGTCGCGGCAGCTGGAGGGAGGGAACCTTGCCTTGGCCATCCTGCTGCCCTTGGGCTTGGTCATTGTCCTTGGCAGTGGCGTTTACATATACTATACCAAGTGAGTGTGTGATGCGGGGGTGGGGTGGAGGGGCTGCCGTGTGCAGGAGGCTGGGGAGGGGGCAGCTCCGGGGTGCACCTGCTGATAAGCTCCCGTCTTCCCCAGGCTGCAGGGGAAATCCCTCTTCGGCTTCTCAGGCTCCCACTCCTACAGCCCCATCACCGTGGAGTCAGACTTCAGCAATCCGCTGTATGAAGCCGGGGTGAGCGCCCCCTGCACCCCCCACCCCCTTAGAGGCCATTGCCAAAGCCAGCCACGTGCTGGGGGAGCAACTGGAAATAGTGAGAACAGGATGCAGCTCGGGCCACCGTGGGAACTTAGGCCCAGCGACCAGCTCTTGTCGTTGGAGACAAAGCAGAGACGTAGGTGTTTACAGCATCCCTAGAACACTGTAGGAACAACGAAACCCATCCCTGGCCAAATTCGGCCTCATTCCCATCATGTGACCCCCCCAACCTCAGGGATCCGTTGAAAACCTGGGGTGCTTTGCCCGTCTCGTGGATGCCACCTCCCCACTTTGCTGCCCTCCCACACCAACAACTGCTCTTCTCTCTCTGTCTTCAGGATACGCGGGAGTATGAAGTTTCTATCTGAAGCCAAGGCTAAGGCTATGGGACCCAGGACGCCCCTCCCCTCCCCCACCCGGGGCAGCGGGGAACACAGGACCTGGTCTCTGGCTGGCTCCTGGCTCCCCTCTTCCCTGCTGTGTACATAGTCTCCCCCCATCCCACGAGGGGGCTTCCGTGGCCCTGGAGACCCGACGGTAAATAAACCAGCATCCTGCCTCCCAAAGCCTCTTCTTGTCAGTTGCCAAACAAGGGGGAGGCCTGCTCTCCCCCACCCTACTGGCTTTTGGATCCCAGGAGGGGAACTCAGCCCTTCCCCCAGCCCCTGCAACTCCTGGGGCCCCTGCAGCCCAGGGCACCCCTCCAGGACTGCCCCTGACAGCCCTGTGGTTCCCCTGGCCCCTCCTCTCCCAGATGCCTGGGTCTTCTCCGAGGGGCGGGGGTCGGGAGAAGAGGGAGGAAGGGGCAAGCCGGGCCCAGGCCCCGCCCCCTTTCTGCTGTCTGCCCAACCCCCATTTTCTCCACCTTTGCTTCTGGATTTTTGTTTTTGAGCAATAAACAGAAAATCGTCACTTGTAACTGGGCTGGTGGGGTGTGGGAAGGGGCTGGGGTCCATGAACAGTAAGGGGGGATGATGGCGATCTCCCCCCGACCCCGCAGGAGGGCTGGGAGGGAAGGGGGCCCAAGTGGAGAAGAGATGGGAATTTCAGACTGGAGACAGGGCTGGGTCAGGGTCTTTCTGGGCTGTTCTGGCTGGGAGGCAGTGGGTCGTAGCTAACCCTCATCCCTCACTGTTCCACAGGAGGCAAACAGCTTTTTTTTTTTTTTTTTTTAATTAAGTTATTTGAGTTACACAGAAAAGATGGAGAGGCAGAGAGAAAGAGAGAGGTCTTCCAACCGCTGGTTCACTCCCCAATTGGCTGCAATGACCGGAGCTGCACTGATCCAAAGCCAGGAGCCAGGAGTTCCTCTGGGTCTCCCACGCGGGTGCAGGGGCCCAAGGGCTTCTGCTATCTTCTACTGCTTTCCCAGGCCATAGCAGAGAGCTGGATTGGAAGTGGAGCAGTGGGGACTTGAACCGGCACCCATATGGGATGCCGGCACTGCAGGTGGCAGCTTCACCTGCTACGCCACAGCAACAGCAACAGCCCTGGCAAACAGCTTTTGAATTACGTCATATCCGGTTGAGTTAAAATTCCACCCTCTTGAGAATTTTTGTTATCCATTCAAATGTACCATTTTTAAAAAAGATTTATTTATTTGGAAGTCAGAGTTAGACAGATCTTCCATTTGTTGGTTCACTTTCCAAACGGCCACAACAGCCAAGGCTGGACCAGGCCAAAGCCAGGAGCCAGGCACTTCTTCCAGGTCTCCCACGCGGGCGCAGGAGCCCAGGCACTTGGGCCATCTCCCGCTGCTTTCCCAGGCGCAGTAGCAGGGAGCTGAGACGGAAGCGGAGCAGCTGGACTCAAACCAGTGCCCACTTGAGATTCCGGCATTGCAGGCAGCGACACGGCTTTTCCCACTACACCACAATGCCAGCCCCAAGTGTACCATTCTGTTGTCCCCCAATCTTTTGGGTGTTTTAGGTGCACCTGTTACATGCCCACCGGATGTGAGCTCGCTTTGTGCCCTTGTGTCCTGTTCCACTCTCTCTACTCTCAAACATTATAAAATGTTTTTCTGAAGAGTCCTTCTTCAAATTAACTGCATTTTACTTCATTTAAATTTTATCTCTAAATATGATAAACACAGTTTTAGAACACCCAGAAGGATGCTAAAATACTCAAAAGGAAATGAATTTTAGAACACGAGGCAAACCGACCTTGGTGAAAACTTAAGGCTTTGAGTGTGAGGCAGTGTGCTAAGTGCTTTGTACGCATTTGTTTTAGATTTTTTTTTTTTCATTTGAAAGTCAGCGTTAACACAGAGAGGAGAGGAAGAGAGAGACAGAGGTCTTCCAACTGATGGTTCACTCCCCAATTGGCCGCAACAGCCAGAACCGTGCCGATCCAAAGCCAGGAGCCAAGAACTTCTTCCAGGTCTCCCACATGGGTGCAGGGGCCAAAGGACTTGAGCCATCTTCTACTGCTTTCCCAGGCCATAGCAGAGAGCTGGATTGGAAGTGGAGCTGCCAGGTCTCGAACCGGTGCCCATATGGGATGCCGTCGATTCAGGCCAGGGCATTAACCCGCTGAGCCACAGCGCCAGCCTCTGCATTGGATTTGAACCCTCACAAGGACCCTGGGAGACAGATGGGTTATCACTCCTATGTTCCAGATAAGAAAACTGATGCGCGGAGATGTATATAGACTTTCTCAGGAGGCTCCAAGCAGAGATTTCAACACAAAGACCGTCATGCTGCCTTCTCACCGGGGATGGGCGTGACGTGGGCCCAAGGCTCAGGGTCCTCAACACTGATGGTCTAGACCTGGGAGGGGTCGAGTTTGGCTAGGAGAGCTCACCTCTGCCAACAGACTGAATTCAAACCATACCCCAAATTGCCCACACTCAGCGTCCACACCTGCTCCCCAAAAAAGGGGGTGCACGTGTGCATCTTCTCACACCTCCACCCCCCCGAGAACCCACAGCAGAGCACTCCGGAGCCCAAGGAAGGGAGGGGCCGACTCTTTATTACAGCCTTGATTCCTGGCAGTGTCTGTGCCAGAGGGTGGTGAGTTGTGTGCCAAGTTGAGTGATGGTTCCAGAACAGTCCAGAGGCTTTGAGATGACCACTGCTCACGACCGGGAGTCCGTCTCAAGTGAAGTGCTTAACGAGTTGCAAAAGGGGAGCTTGGAGGCACGGTCTAGAGGGGACAAAACGGGGGAGGGAGTGAGAGGCCAAGTGAGGCTGCCACGCTGCTGGGCAGAGCTCCCTGGAAGAGAAGAACAACCTGTGACTCTTCAGGCCCAAGCCTCTTGTTCCCATCCTTCCACCCTCCACCTGTTCTCCAAGCTCTGTCAATCACCCATGCATCCCCCGCCCCCATCCCCCATCTGTCCATTCATCCATCTGTCCATCCCCCATCTGTCCATTCATCCATCTGTCCATCCCCCAATCTCCCCATCCCCCATCTGTCCATTCATCCATCTGTCCATCCCCCAATCTGTCCATTCATCCATCTGCCCATCCCCCATCCCCCAATCTCCCCATCCAGCCATCTACTCATCCCCCCCACACCCATCTGCTCACCCATCCCCCACCCTCGCGCCCCTCTTCCATCAGTAATCGTCATCCCACCCTTGAGAGCCAGGGCTCTCTGCTCCCTGGCAAACTGCTACCCCTAGGGTAGTGCTGGCACACGGTGAGGGCCAAATACACGCTCAATGAGGCCCACAGACGGTATCGACCGCCTGTCCGCTCACCCGTTCCCCAGCCCACGCCTCTGGGAAGTCACAGTGCTCCCCAGTTCCAGGGGCAACTCAGAGACCACAAGTCTTTGCTGAGGGTGTGGAGAGCAATGTCTCTTGGGACTGCGGGGGCGCTGACAGGGGGACGATAGGAAGATGCTCCCTCAGGATGGAGGGGAAACCGCTGGGTGGACGGCGGCTGCCGGACAACCTGCGCAGTGCTCACTGCGGAGTCACAGCAGGCGCGCGCTCAAGGCCCAGAGAGAAAGGTCTTCCTTCCGTTGGTTCACCCCCCAAATGACCACTATGGCCGGCGAGCGCGCTGATCCGAAGCCAGGAGCCAGGTGCTTCTCCTGGTCTCCCATGCAGGTGCAGGGCCCAAGCACCCGGGCCACCCTCCACTGCACTCCCGGGCCACAGCAGAGAGCTGGACTGGAGGAGGAGCAGCCGGGACTAGAACCCGGTGCCCCAACCAGGACTAGAACCCGGGGTACTGGCGCTGCAGGTGGAGGATTAGCCAAGTGAGCCGTGGCGCTGGCAAAGGCCCAGCTGCTGTTTTTTTTTTTGTTTGTTTGTTTGTTTTTTTTTTTTGTTTTTTTGACAGGCAGAGTGAACAGTGAGAGGAAGAAACAGAGAAAAAGGTCTTCCTTTGCCGTTGGTTCACCCTCCAATGGCCGCCACGGCCAGCGCATTGTGGCCGCCGCACTGCGCTGATCCAAAGGCAGGAGCCAGGTACTTATCCTGGTCTCCCATGGGGTGCAGGGCCCAAGCACTTGGGCCATCCTCCACTGCACTCCCGGGCCACAGCAGAGAGCTGGCCTGGAAGAGGGGCAACCGGGACAGAATCCGGCGCCCCAACTGGGACTAGAACCCGGAGTGCCGGCGCAGCAAGGTGGAGGATTAGCCTCGTGAGCCGCGGCTCCGGCCCCAGCTGCTTCTAACACCAAGGCCCAACGGGGTAGGGATCAAACGTCCCCAAGTCTCCTTGGGGACAAGCATGTCGGCTTATTCTGCACCGAACTGTGCTGCAGGCTGTGGTGATAAACATGGAAACAGCGGCACTAGTCACAGCGGGGATTACTCCTGGTCTTGGTGGCCTGGCCCACAACAGATAGTAAACACTTCCCCACTGTCCGCTCCTCCAGGGCTCAGCATCCGGCTCCTCTCTCCCTCTCTCTCCCTTCCAGGACAACCTCCACCGCCCTCCCAGCACCTCCCAGGTGAGACCCAGCCCAGCCCAGACGTCCCTGCTGAGTTCCGCCCCCTTGTTTCCAAATGTCTACATTTCCACCCGAGTTGCCAAAGTATCCTCAAAGCCGAAGGTGCCCAAAGTGGGGACATGGCCACCGTGTTCCAGGAGGACCGAGAAGGCTGGCCGGACCGCACAGGGGGCGAGGGGAGCAGCCACAGGCTCCAGGGCAGAGAGACAGTGGGGTGGCCGGAGGACCCTGTAAGCAAGCCTCTGGCTTGGACTCAGCCACGGAAGAGTTCTGAACAGAAGCACGCCCTGATCAGACCCAGGCTAGCAGCTGTCCGCTCTTTGCTCCTAATCAGTTACTGAACTCATCCAACTTCCTGGTCTTTTCTGCTCTGTGCCACCCCCCACCCCACCCCACCCCGTCTCTACTCTTACTGTGACAAGGATCTTAGAGCCTTCAACCTGGTCCCTGCAGAATAATTCCTGACCGGCCTCCCTGGCCCCAGCCTCTCCTCTTCTCACTGACCATAGATCGAGGGACCTAAGACTCCAACACCAGGGCACCCACGTGCTGGCACAGCAGGTTAAGCCGCCACCTGTGACACTGGCGCCCACACTGCACTGCTGCTTTGCTTCCGATCCAGCTCCCCCTGCCAGTGCTCCTGGAGAAGCAGCAGCAGATGGCCCAGGTGCCTGGGCTCCTGCCCCCACGTGGGAGACTCAGATGCAGCTCCAGGCTCCTGGCTTGCATCTGGCCCGGCCCTGGCCATTGCTGCCATTTGGGGAGTGAACCAGCAGACAGAAGACCCCCCACCCCCCTCTCTCTCTGTAACTGCCTTTCACATCAATCAATTTTAAAAGTAGGAGCCGATGCTGTGGCGTTAGCGGGTAAAGCTGCCGCCTGCAGTGCTGGCACCCCATATGGGCGCCGGTTTGAGTCCTGGCTGCTCCACTTCCGATCTAGCTCTCTGCTATGGCCTGGGAAAGCTGTGGGGGGCCGGCGCTGTGGTGCAGCGGGTTAACCCCCTGGCCTGAATCGACGGCATCCCATATGGGCGCCGGTTCTAGTCCCAGCTGCTCCACTTCTCATCCAGCAATCTGATCCAGCTCTCTGCTGTGGCCTGGGAAAGCAGTAGAAGATGGCCCCAGTCCTTGGGCCCCTGCACCCGTGTGGGAGACCTGGAAGAAGCTCCTGGCTTCGGATCGGCACAGTTCCGGCTGTTGCAATCAATTGGGGAGTGACCCATCAGATGGAAGACCTCTCTCTCTCTCTCTCTCTCTGACTCTCCTTCTCTCTGTGTGTAACTCTGACTTTCAAATAAATAAAAATAAAACAATTTTTAAAAATAAAAAAAAAAATTCTTATAAAAAAAAAAAGCAAGCAAGCAGTGGACGACGGCCCAAGTGCTTGAGGCTTTGCACCTGTGTGGGAGGCCTGGCAGAGGCTCCCGCCCAGCTCTGGCCATTGACGCCATTTGGGGAGTGAACCAGTGGGTGGCAGACCTCTCTCTCCCCTCCAGCCTCCTTCTCTGTGTAACTCTGACTTTCAAATAAATAAATATTTTAAAAAAAGAAGAAGAAAAGAAAGAAAACAGGAGAAAAAATTTATTAAAAAAAAAAAAAGCCCTAGGTGGCAGCACCAGCATCCCCTATGAGCAATGGTTTGCGTCCTGGCTGCTCCACTTCCAATCCAGCTCCCTAGTAATGCGCCTGGGAAAGCAGTAGAAGATGGCCCAAGTGCTTGGGCCCCTGCACCGGCGTAGGAGACCCGGAAGAAGCTCCTGGCTCCTGGCTTCAGATTGGCCCAGCTCCAGCCATTTGCAGCCATTTGGGGATTGAACCAATGAATGAAAGACCTCTGAGTGTCTCTACCTCTCTCTGCAACTCTTTCAAATAAATAAAACTAATCTTTACAAAAAAAAAAAAAAGTAAAACTCCAACCTCCCTTGCTCAAATTCTTCAGCAGTTCCTCACCTCCAGGAAAACATCTATGGATCTTAGCATGGCACGCTCGAGGCCTGTCCTGCTTAGCCCCCAGCTCCCGGCTCGCCTACTCCCGCAGGTGGGCCCTTCTCCTGGCCTGTGTGAGTACACACACACTTTCACTCCACCAAGACTGATACTGCTCGTGCAATCCTCACCAACCCTTTCATTTTCTTCTCTCCTGCAAAATTCTTTCTTTAGGAGTTACCTCCTCCAGGAAGCGTCCCGATTTCTCCAACACAGGCCGGGTCTTGTCCTTGCTCCTGTATGTACTTGGGGCATGTATCCATATCGGGTTGTAATAGGCCATCCCCTTGTCTGCCCACAACACTAAGCTGTGAACTCTTCAAGGGCAGACACTGGGTCATTCACTCCTGCGTCCCAAGCGCCTCAGACAGACACTGGCACAGAGCGTGACCGTCTGGCCAGTGTCAACAGCCCTGCCCCTACCTTGGCACGAGGGGACGGCAGGAGGTGTGCCTTGGTGCGGGTCCGGTTCCTGTCAGAGCTAGGGACAGCAGCAGAGAAGGGAGCGAGCTGAGAACTCCGGTTGGCAGCCTGAGGGGACCAGACTTCCTGCCTGGCCTGGGTGCTATGGGCACCCCACCCCCACCCGCATAGGCTCGTCCCCTCGCAGCCGCGCTCACCGGGTGTCAGTGCCTCGGGTCTTGGTGCAGAACACTGGAAGTAGAGGCCCCAGTCAGAGGACGACCATCCCCGTGGCCAGGAAGAGATCAGCTAGAGAAAAAGGGGGCTGAGGGGGCGCCCGGCCAGCAGTGGGGACTCGCTCAGCATGGGGCTAGGTCAGCGCTGGGTGGGCTCCAGGGCTGGCTCATGAAAGTGGACACCAAATCTTGGTGGTGGGGAGGCGGTGGCATCCGGTGCAGCATTTAAGGTACCCGCGTCCCGCCCGGGAGGGCCCGGCTTTGCGTCCCAGCTCCGTCTCCAACTCTAGCTTCCTGCTAAGGCACAGCGGGCAGCCAAGAGCTGGCTCCAGGGCGTGAGGCCCTGCCACCCCTGTGGCAGACCCAGGAGGAGTCCCTGGCTCTCATCTGGCCCAGACCTGGCTAGGTCAGCTCTGGCGGGGAGGGGGTCGGGGCTGGTAGGAGACGCGGCTCTCCCAAGGCGGGGATCACCGTGTTGGGATATCTGAGTCCCTTGGTCTTTTGTCTGCTTCTCCTTGATGGGCACAGGATTCACGTGACAGCAAGCGATAAACAAGGCCTCGTCGGTGAGCTCCGTGCTGATCCGGGTCAGGAATTCCTCAGAGCGAGAGAGTGAAACCTTCTGGGGAGGAGAGGTAAGAAGGGCTTGCTTGGAGCTCCTCCGTGGGTTCCTGGGTCCAGGGGCTCACAGGCTGGGGCTGTGGGCTGCGTGTGCGACCTGGCAGCCTTGAGCCCCGAGGTCTGGACCTGGGTAGGGGCGGGCCGTCTCAGGAGGAGCCCCAAGGGGCTCGCACTGTGGGCGGTGGGTCTGGGCCCCAGGGCTTAGGGTTGACCCACGAGGCTCAGGGCTTGTGTCTCAGACCTGGGACGGGTGCCTCTGCCTGGGAGCCCTCAGTTCCACTCCCATCTCCAGGGTCTCCCCTTCGGAGCTCAGCGGCCCCTCACTCAAGGAGGTTGGAGCTGGAGCTGGAGCCAGCCGGCTGCCCTTCTCCTCATTCCTGGCGGGAGTGGATGCCATGCCCCTGAGAAAGCAGGAGCCTGGGTTGGGCTGAAGAAAGCAGCCCACTTCCCCCCGCCTGCCCCTGCCCAGAACCCATCCCTCCACCATTCCCCAAGCCCAGATTTAACCCGGGCTTTTCCAAAAAACATCGTGTTGTCTCAGTTCTGTCTGAAAAAGAAAAACCTTTTGTAGCCTTATATTGGGGAGTGGGCCCACAATGACTCCCCAGCCCCAAATCGCCCACACAGGGTCTGTCCATCTGTCCTTTCCTCCCTCCCAAGGTGCTTCCCAAGCCACGGCAGCTTTGCCCTTGCGCCCCGGACCTTGCAGATGGTTTGAAATCTTGGGGTACTCGGCACGAGGGGAGGAGGGGAGGTCAAAGGGGCCCTGTTGTAGGTCGCGGGGGTGGGGGCGGGAAAGGGAGATGGAACTGGGGAGGAAGGATGGAAAGAAGGGGAGCCAGGGAGGCGCTGCTACCCGTTGCTATAAAACCTCAGTGTTGGCAGAGGCTCCCCAGCCTCGCTGCTAGGAGACCGGGGTTCTAGAACCCCGGACGAGAGACCCTTCCCCCGCGTCCCTGGCCCCCCTCCGCACCCCGCCAGGTCCTGCGCCGGAGTCCTGGGAAATCTGGGGCGATTGCGCAGGGTGTGGAGCCCGGGACCTCCCACCACTAGGGTGTCTCCAGAAGCAGGCGCCAGCCCCGCGCCGGGCCGCTCTAGCCGCCACTTCGCAGCCGAGACGGCTCCTGCGAGAGCAAACGAGGCCCAAGGCCTGGCGGGGGCGGGGCCGGAACATGTGGATTGTACTAACTGCCCCGGCCTCTCGGGGGTGTGCCAGGACTCAGAGGGGCGCCTTACCGTCTCATCCATCTCTCCAGGAGGTCATGCCCTCCGCAGAAAGGAAGGCCGAGATAGTCGCTCGGGCCTGCCTCTTTGGGGCGCTTCCCCTTTTAGTTCCTTCCTTTGCTCTGCGCCGACGGCCCTTTGCCCCTTCTCCCCTGCTCTGCGTTTTGGTACGAACCGATGGAAAGGGGCGGAGGGAGGAAAAGGACGGGGAAGCGGGCAGGTCTTAAAGGGGCCGCAGCCATTTTTAAGCCCTCCTTTTTTTCCCACTCCGTCTCTCTTCTAAATTGGCAACGACTCGAGCAGTCGAGTGGGCTCCCGGAAGCCGAGCACAGCTGGAGCAGCCGAGACCCCTGCTGGCCGGGGCTTCGGCTGGGGGCGGGGGGCTGCGCATCGCCGGGGCGGGGTGCGCGCGCTCCCTGCGCCCCGCGCACAGCTGGCTCGGCCCCTGCTCCCGCAGCCTGCGGGCTGGAACAGCTGGGGCCCGGCCGGGGCCGCGGGCTCCAGCGCGCGGTTGGCGGCGCCGGGACAGCGTTGGCACCGCCAGAGCCCGCCCTGGGCGGCGAGGGAGCCGGCGCGATGCCGGGCGAAAATATCTTCCTGTTCGTGCCTAACCTCATCGGTGAGTGCTGCCCGCGGCTCGGGCCGGACGCGAGGGCGTGGGGGGCCTCGGCGGTTCCCTGACGGCACCCCGTCCCGTCCCAAGGTTACGCCCGGATTGTCTTCGCCATCGTCGCCTTCTACTTCATGCCCAGCTGCCCCCTCACGGCCTCCTCCTTCTACCTGCTCAGCGGGCTCCTGGACGCTTTCGATGGACACGCGGCTCGAGCGCTCAATCAAGGTGACAGCCGCCCGCCGCGAGCCCTCTGGGGCTCTGCCCTTGCCCTCTCTCTGGAGGGTAACGGGGTGGCCTGGGGTTGTGCAGCGGCGCCGGTTTAAGCCAGCTCTGGTAGTCGAATCCATGGCTGGCCGGGGCTGTTGTCAAAGAGCAGGACCGGGCGGTGGCCCATTCCACAGGTGTTTGCTATGTAGGCCAGGACAACAGGGCCGGCTTAGAGGGAGAATGGAGATAGAAGGTTCTTTGATCTGTCCTCAGACTGAGCCTTGGTTCTGGGTTTGATGGATGGGGTTGTTCCCGCCACTGTGGCCCCTGTGTATTCCACCCGCGGCGTGCACCTGCCATGGATCCGCACCCCCCGCCCCCCACTCCCACCCAGTGCCTTCCCACCCAATGGCCGTCCTCTTGCAGGAACCCGGTTTGGAGCCATGTTGGACATGCTGACCGACCGCTGTGCCACCATGTGCCTGCTGGTCAACTTGGCCCTGCTGTACCCTCGCGCCACCCTCCTCTTCCAGCTCAGCATGAGCCTGGACGTGGCCAGTCACTGGCTGCACCTCCACAGGTCTGGGGCCGGCCCCACCCCGGGGAGGGGGCCTGGGGGGAGGTCTCTGTGCCAGCGCCGCTTTGCTCGAAGCCCTGGAGCTTGCCACAGCGCCTTGGGGTTAAGCAGTCCCTAAGACCCTCCTATCTCAAGATCCTAGGGTTCCAAATGGGTGGCGACTCAGAGGAAGGAGTCTTTCTTCTTATTTTTTTTTAATTATTTGAGAGGCAAAGAGAGAGCCCCCCATTCTGGTTCACTCCCCCAAAAGCCTACATTGGCCAGGTCTGGGCCAGGCGGAAGAGCTGGGAGCCAGAAACTCCATCCAGGTGTCCCGCGAGGGTGGGAGGAGTCCAGTGATTTGAGCCATCACTTCCCGGGGGAATGCAATGGCAGGAAGCTGGGATTGGGAGCGGGGCCAGGACTCGAGCCCAGGCGCTCCAGCATGGAATGTGGGTGTTCCAAGTGGCACCACTAGGCCAAACCCTTGTCCTCTGGAAGCCTCTGAATGCGGTATCTGAATCTGGACCCTGCCCCCACCTTGGTAAACAGGAACTTTGGTCCTTAGCTGTGCCCTGCACTCTATGCAAGGGGGGTGACCCCAGCACCTGCCGTTCGTGGGTTGGTGGGGGGATCAGGTGCGTGGTGATGGTAGAGAAAGCCCGAGGATTGCCCCCCTCTTCCTCCCCCAAGTTCCGTGGTCCGAGGCAGTGAGAGCCACAAGATGATCGACCTGTCTGGGAATCCAGTGCTCCGTATCTACTACACGTCCAGGGTGAGCCTCGGGGCGGTCCTGGGCTGGACCCTGGTCCAAAGGGCAGGAGAGGGCAGATGAGGGCCCGCCCAGACCCTGCAGGCTTGGGGGGAGGGGGAGGGCTCGGCCCAGTGCACCCTGGGAGCTGAGTGGCTGGGGTGGAGGGGGGGTGGGGGACGTCTGAGAGCACTTCTGGAAGCATGGGCAGCCCCCTAGAAGGAGAAGCGAACGCCTGGGTTGCGCACCCCGACTTGGCGGTGGAGGGGCTCGTGGCGGGGGGGGGGGGGGGTGGGGTGGGGTGGGCCCCTGCCTGCCGCTTGCTTAAGCATCCTGTCTGCTGTGTGCGCAGCCTGCCCTGTTCACCCTGTGTGCCGGCAACGAACTCTTCTACTGCCTCCTCTACCTGTTCAATTTCTCCGAGGGACCATTAGGTAGGAGAGGACGGGCGGGGTGGGGGGTGCTGGCCAGCCTGCCTGCCTGCCCGCCTGCGGAGGGGACAGCCTCAGCCCCCCAGGCGCTTCGCTCCTCTGATCCCCCTTCTCTCCGCATCGCCCCTGCTGCCTCCCTGCAGTCGGCTCCGTGGGGCTCTTCCGCGTGGGCCTTTGGGTCACTGCCCCCATCGCCCTGCTCAAGTCCCTCATCAGCATCATCCACCTGGTCACGGCCGCCCGCAACATGGCTGCCCTGGACGCCGCAGACCGAGCCAAGAAGAAGTGACCCTGGAGCCCCGAGTCCCACCCCTTCCCCGGCGGGCCGGCCGCCCTCCTGCCCTGGGCGTCACATCGTGCCATGCGGCCACCCCTCCCTCCGAGAGGCCCGGTGTCGCGTCGTCCTCGTGTGTCGTCCAGCCTGCTGGGATGCGGTCAGCTTCCCTTTGGTGATGTCACAGGCCCACCCCTGGGCTTCGAATCAGGAGGCCCCTCTGCCCGTTCAGCCAGCGACTAGCACTGCCTACCTGCTGGCCCGGCCCTGGGGACCTGGCTGAGGTCTTAGGGAGCGTGGAGTGAGAGGAGTGGTGGAGGCGCCGGGTTTCCCAGTAGGCACAGGAGTCACAGCTCTGCCCTTGGCCTGGGGAAGCCTTGGGGCTCCGCCCCCACCGGTCGTCAGGTCCCCCGTGCCGTCCGCCCTGGCTCTGGAAGCCTTAGCAGTAAAGGTGGGAGTTCCACCAGAATGGTGGACATGGTTTCCTTTGAGGCCTCCGTGGGTCCTGGGGAACTTGGACGGATTTGGAGGTACTTCCCCCGGCTGTGGGCTGGCCGCTTCCGGCCCCAGATGCCGGCCGTGGCCCCTGTGCCCTCCGGCTGGGTGTTCTTGGCCGTCCATGTGTATCCACACTCTTGGTGTTTTCTGCCCCCACCAGGGCGCAGCCTTTCCACGATGCCGTCTCTGTCTAGAATGAAGACTCTTAGCCTGGCATATAATAGCTGCTTAATAAATATTTGTGATTAGAACACTTGGTTTCTCAGAGCCTGGACCTAAGACTGCCTGTAGGATATTTCTTAAAAATACAACATTTGGGGGCCAGTGCTGTGGTCTAATGGGTAAAGCTGCCACCTGCAGTGCCGGCATCCCTTATGGGCGTCGGTTCTAGTCCCAGCTCTCTAGATCCAGCTCTAGATCCAGCTCTCTGCTATGGCCTGGGAAAGCAGTGGAAGATGGCCCAAGTCCTTGGGCCCCTGCGCCCATGTGGGAGACCCTGAGGAAGCTCCTGGCTCCTGGCTTTGGATCGGCTCAGCTCCAGCCATTGCGGTCATCTGGGGAGTGAACCAGTGGATGGAAGACCTCTCTCTCTCTCTGCCTCTGCCTCTCTGTAACTCTGCCTTTCAAAAAAATAAATAAATCTTAAACAAAGAAAAGAAAAAAAAACCTTGGGGCCAGTGTTGTGGCACAGCAGGTTAAGGCGCCATGTACAGTGCTGGCATCCCATATAGGCACCATTTCAAGTCCTGGCTGCTCCTGTTCCAATCCAGCTCCCTGCTGATGCACCTGGGAAAGCAGCAGAAGATGACCCAAGTGCTTGAGCCCCTGCACCCATGTGGGAGACCTGGAAGAAGTTCCTGGTTTTGGCCTGGCCGTTGTGGCCATTTGGAGAGTGAACCAATGGATGGAAGACCTCTCCCTAACTCTCAAATAAATAAAATCTTAAAAAAAAACTTCTTGGGGCAGGCATTTGGTACAGCAGTTAAGATGCTGCTTGGGGCGCCTGCATCCCGTATCACAGGGTCTGGGTCCAAATTCCACCTCCATTCTTCCTTCCAGTTCCTGCTAATGCACAGGCGGGGGTGGGGGGCAGCTTGTGGGAGACCCGGATGGAGTTCCAGGCTTTTGGCCTGGGCCTGGGCTGGCCCTGGCTGTTTGTGGGCACTGGGGAGTGGAGCAGTAGATGAGAGTCTCTTTTTCTTTTTCTTTCTTTTTTTTTTTTTTGACAGGCAGAGTGGACAGTGAGAGAGAGTCAGAGAGAAAGGTCTTCCTTTGCCGTTGGTTCACCCTCCAATGGCCGCCGTGGCCACGCTGATCTGATGGCAGGAGCCAGGTACTTCTCCTGGTCTCCCATGGGGTGCAGGGCCCAAGCACTTGGGCCATCCTCCACTGCACTCCCTGGCCACAGCAGAGAGCTGGCCTGGAAGAGGGACAACCGGGACAGAATCCGGCGCCCCAACCGGGACTAGAACCTGGTGTGCTGGCGCAGCAAGGCGGAGGATTAGCCTACTGAGCCGTGGCGCCGGCCTCTTTTTCTTTTTTGACAGGCAGAGTTAGAGAGGTTCACCCTCAAATGGCCGCTACAGCCGGCGCTGCGCCGATCCCAAGCCAGGAGCCAGGTGCTTCCTCCTGGTCTCCCATGCGGGTGCAGGTACTCAAGCACTTGGGCCATCCTCCATTGCCCTCCCGGGCCACAGCAGAGAGCTGGACTGGAAGAGGAGCAATCGGGGCTAGAACCCGGGGTACCGGTGCTGCAGGCAGAGGATTAGCCTAGTGAGCTGCAGCGCTGGCCCTTTTTTTTTTTTTAAAGATCTATTTATTCATTTGAAAGCTGGAGTTACACAGAGAGAGGAGAGGCAGAGAGAGAGAGAGGTCTTTATCCACTGGTTAGCTCCCCGGATGGCCACAACAGCCGGAGCTGAATTGATCTGAAACCAGGAGCTTCTGGGTCTCACGTGGGTGCAGGGGCCCAAGGGCTCAGGCCATAGCAGAGAGCTGGGTCAGAAGTGGAGCAGCCAGGACTCGAACCGGTGCCCATATGGGATGCGGGCACTGGCGGCAGTGGCTTTAACTGCTACGCCACAGTGCCAGTTCCTGCACTTTTATTTTTAAAGACTTATTTATTTGAAAGTCAAAGTTAGAAGAGAGAGAGATCTTCCATCTGGTTTACTCCCCAGATGGCCCCACAGCCGGGGCTGAGTCAGGCTGGAGCCTGGAGCTTCTTCCAGGTGTCCTATGTGGGTGCAGGGGCCCAAGCAAGCTCTTGGGGCATCTTCCTCTGCTTTCCCAGGCACATGAGCAGGAAGCTGGATCGGAAGTGGAGCAGCCAGGATTCCAAGACCGCAGGTGGTGGCTTTACCTGCTAGCCACTGCATGGGGCCCCGGATTTCTTTTTAAACTACACTGGACTGAGCCCCATGGGCTGAGGCCATCATATGCTGTGCCCCCAGCTGGCTTCTGGCCCACTTGCTGTTCACTGCAGTTAGGGAGGGGCGGAGGAGGTGCCGTGCGGAGCCTGGAGAGCAGGGAACGCTGGTGGGGCCGGGGAGGGAAGGGTTAATGCTCTGAGCTAGATCCAGATCAATGCGGCTGGGCCACCTCAGGCTGGGTGCTGTGAAGGGGAAGGGGCCAGGGCGAGGCCCAAGGAGAGCTGCAGGACAAAGGTGTGTGTGTGTGTGTGTGTGCAGATTCCCATTGTTCAAAACCTATCTTCTGGGGCAGGTGTTGAGGTGCAGTGGGTTAAGCCACTGTGTGAGCACTGGTCAGTCCTGCCTGCTGCTCCACTTCCCATCCAGCTCTGAGCAAATGCACCTGGGAAAGCAGCAGATGATGACCCCAAGACTCGGGCCCCTGTCATCCACATGGGAGACCTGGCTGGGGTTCCAGGCTCATAGCTTCAGCCTGGGCCAGCCCCAGCGATTCCCTCATTTCCAGGGAGGGAATCGTGGCACTGACCGTGAGCTTGCACAGTCCCCATCAGCGCCTTCCCTAATGGCCGCAGGGAATGCCCGTAATTACCCATTACGCCACCTTAATCCCCAGCCTGGGGGCTGGACGTCCAAGGGCCTTATGCAAGTCCTGTTTCCAAGGCTTCCCAGCTCCTGGTCCCGGAAAAAGATCCTGTTGTCCCGGGGAGCCCCGGAGCCCAGAGCTCTCTGCCCTCCCAGCTCCCACAGCCCTGGGGGCACCTGCAGGCTCTCAGCTTCTGCAGGGCCTCCAGAAGGCTCTGGTTCACGTCGATCCACCTAATCGAGGTTGAGAGGGGTAACGGACAAGAGTCAGGAAGGGGGCAGGCACTAATGATGCGGCCAGGCCTGCCCAGGGTTGAGGCCTCAGGTAGCCGGACACCTGCGGTTCTGTGGCCATGGCTGGGCTGAGTTCCAGAGGCACCTGCAGAGGCCAGAGCCGCACCCCCCGCCCCAAAGATTTATTTATTTATTTATTTGAAAGGCAGAGTTACAGACAGGTAGAGCCAGAGAGAGAGAGAGGTCTTCCATCCGCTGGTTCATTCCCCAAATGGCCACAATGGCCTGAGCTGTGCTGATCTGAAGCCGGGAACCAGGAGCTTCTTTTGGGTCTCCCACATGGGTGCAGGGGCCCGAGCACTTGGGCCATCTTGCACTGATTTCCCAGGCCATAGCAGAGAGCTGGATTGGAAGTGGAGCAACTGGGACTTCAACCAGCACCCATATGGGATGCTGGCACTGCAGGCAGCAGCTTTACCTGTTGCGCTAGCCCCCAGAGCCCATTTTTACAGCCTAGGACCAGGGGCCAGCACTGTGGTGTAGCAGGTAAAGCCATTGCCTGCAGTGCTGGCATCCCACATGGGCGCTGGTTGAAGTCCCAGTTGCTCCACTTCCCATCCAGCTCTCTGCTATGGCCTGGGAAAGCAGCAGAAGATGGCCCAAGTCCTTGGGCCCCTGCACCCGCATGGAAGAAGCTCCTGGTTCCTGGCTTCAATCTGGCCCAGCTCCTGTTGTTGCGACCACATGGAGAGTAAACCAATGGGTGGAAAAATCGTTGTCTCTCCCTCTCTTTGTAACTATGCCTTTGAAATTAAAAAAACATCTTTAAAAAATTTTTGTAAAAGAGTATGGAGGAAGTAGGCATTTAGCCTAGTGGTTTAAGGTAAATAGCTTTTAATTCCATTTCCATGAACTTCTGGAAGGAATTGCATCCACTCAGCTTAAATAAAATATTACAAAAACCAGTGACGGTCACACATGAATTTTAATGAAAATGAGAGGCAAGGCCACTGACCAGGACGGAGCTCCTTACCAGAAAAGCGAGTTACACAGCTTCTTATGGTATTCTGTCCACTCGGGCTCACAATTTCCAACCCCTGGTATGCAGTGAGCAATAAAAGAAACCCAGAATATGGTTGTAAGATAACAGTTAACAATGACAAACCAGGAACAATAACAAACCCAAGATAGGCTTGTAAGATAACAGAGCAGGGTGCATTTCTGTCAACTTAGGCGGAATACTTGGGCTCACCAGTGGCTCCCCAGGGATGGAAGTTGGTGTCTAACTCCTCTGCAGTTCTCATCTGGGGCTCTCATCTGCAAGTGGGGGTTGACGGACTTGGGCAATTCCCTGGATTTCGACACCTGGCTTCCAGATCGCCTGGTTTATTTGCAGCTTGCAGGCAGAGGGAGATTGGTGGGGGCTGGTGGTGCCGCTCAGTGGGTTAAGCCCTCACCGGCGATGCCAGCATCCCATATCGGAGCATCAGTCCCAGTCCTGGCTGCTCCACTTCTGATCCAGCTCCCTGCTAATGCACCTGGGAAGGCAATGGAAGACGGCCCACGTATTTGGGTTCTCACACATACACACACACACACACACACACAAGACCCAGAAGAAGCTCCTGGCTCCTAGTTTTAGCCTGGTCTTGCCTTGGCTGTTGTGGGTATTTGAGAAGTGAGCCGGTGGATGGAAGACATATCTCTGGGTTGCTTTGCCTTTCAAATAGATGCATTTTTTTTTAAGAGATGTGCACGGAGGTTTGCCCAAGGCAGGCTTTTATGGGAGGGTGGGGATTTAGCACAGATCACTTCTACTGGCACCCCATTGGTTACAGCTCTGTCACATGTCTACATCTGGGTGCAAGAGAGGCTGGGGAAGACAGAGTAGCTGGGAGCCTTAGATGAAGAGGAAATTGACTTGGTAAACAGCTTCTTACCAAGTTTGTTTTTTTCTTCTTTCTTTCTTCTTCCTTTTTTTTTTTTTTTTTTTTTTTATAGAATTA